GGGAAACGGTTGAAGTGTCTTCTCTGAATTGCTGTGATTATTTAGACTCATCTGAGAAACCATATACTCTTTCTAAAAGACAATTTTTGCAAGATGTATTATTCTAGCCGGCAGAGAATCTAGGCAAGGCCAGTCTCTGTGAGGCTGGCTGGGTGCTCTGCAGACACAGGGAGTAGATGTGAGGTAGCAGCTTGGCTGTCACGGGAGAGACTGTGTCAGTGTTTCACACTTTATTAGCCTTTTTGAATGTTTGTAGAAAAGCTGAGGATGAGCTTCTCTTGCAACCATTTTTTATTGCATTTCTGGCCACCACAAGCATCAGATCAGTGCTTGGCCTTTGTTTTGTTACTCATTGTCATCTAGAAGCTTTGCTGTTGGAACTCAATGTGACATCTTTTTGTATGTTCCATCTACAGCTGAAATTCTCAGTCAAAGTCTGGATTCCACATAAAAGAGAATACCACATTTAGCAATGTTTTGGTTTGGGTGCGCATTCAATCTGAACTGATGGTTTAACTTGAGATGCATTCAATAACACCTCTTCACCAGGCTACAAGAATATATATTTTCCTTGTATGTAATATCTCTGTTCTGAAATCTGACATAGTATCAGTGGGTCAGAGTAATTATTTCTTTAGTCTTGGAGTAGATAGGAGGTAAAGGATACCTTTTCCATAGCTGTCTTCCTCTTCCATTCAAATTGCTTTTCCACATCCCATTCCCATTGTTTAAAAAACAATGTTCCTTCATAGTGTAATTGTTTTTTGTGTATAAGAGAAAATGGTCATACATTTTGTCTTCCTGTCTCCTCTGTGTTTTTTAGAAGTCTGAATTAGTTTTTTATTGTCTGTTTGGAGTCTTTTGTGGCACAAAGCTAAAACTTTTAGATACTAACAAAACAGTAAGACTTGGAGTAGGTGTAATAGCGCGGTGCTGAATATTTAAATAGAAGAATAATTATATACCCACTTGCCCTATTAAGACTCTCTCTTACTACAGAAAAGTTCTGGAATTCTTACTGGATTACACAATCTGTTCTTGAAAGAGAACAAGCATTAGGATATAAGAAGGACGTTTGGATAAAATACATATAAAAAAGATTAAAATTGTAATGTTTTTCGTGTGGCTCTGGCTACTTGTCAGATGGGAGGATTGTAAGTCTGCTTTTTTTATCTAGCAATTTTCTGTGATGCTCATATTTTTCTGTTGCATTTTCCATTGATTTTTTTTCCTAAGTTATAAACTCGGATGAAGAAAGTGTTCATGACCCTGTTTAAGCATAATTTCCTCTGTGACTTTTTTTCCTGTCCCCTATTAATATAGTTATCAGCTCTAATAATGAGAGAGAGAAAAAAAGGCAACCCCAGAAATACACAGTCTCTCCTAGCACCAGTCCTAGGAAGGGCAGGAGAGATACTGTTTCTCCCCGTGCTTCTTGCCCTGTTCAGGGCAGTAATCTGTAAATACTATGTACCATTATATCACAGCAGTGTATCTCTTCTGTGCTGATCAGGTCATTGGCCAAGCATTAACACATCCCATTCTTGCCTAGAGGTTCTGCAGAGCAGGATATGATTTCCAAGAAGCTTGTCCTTTCACTGCCCTATAAGATCTCCACATGAGAGAAAAAGAAGGGATTCTACAATCTTCTGTACCTTGCACGGAGATTGAAAGACAATAGAATATTGTCTTTCATGTGCATCGCTTCTCAAGAGCATCTAAGAGTGTCTCAAAATTAGTTTCTTTTTGTAGAGAGTTCTGCTGCAAAAGACACATTTCTTGAAGTTGCTCCTGAGTTGTGTGCCCTCCATAGTGATACTGACTCATATAGAATTACAGAATGCATCTCATCATGTTCCACTCTAATGAACAATGAACACTGAGTTCCAAGACAGAGTGATTTAAATTTATGATGTGCACTCCATGATCTTCCTGCGAGCCTTGCCTTTGCTTGTGATTTTCTCATTCCCATGACCTTGTCTCTCCAAAAAATGCTCCTTCTCAGCAGACCTCAGTTCTATTCTTTCCTGCCAGTATCCCAAATACTCAATTCTCTCCAGTTTATTACCACATGGTTACTCTGTCCTTTGATGATCATGACAAAATGCTTTGTCATCACTGAACAGCAGAAAATCATCATGAGGGGCCCAGGGCATTACTTTCCTTCCTTCAGTCATGCCAGCAAAGGGAACACTAACTCCCTTTTCTCTGTTAATGGAAGCTGGGGAAGAGCTTGAGATGGTCAAGTTTCTCCATATCTGCACCTTCTTTTTCGACTCAAGTAAAAATCCGTTGGGCTGTCATATTCCATTGTTAAATACAGAATTATTCCTTAAGGTCTCTTTTTTAGTAATTCGACCAACCTAGTGTTGGCTTCTCAAAGCTTTCTGTCATTCTGCTTCCACTATGCCCAGTCAATGATCTATCTGAAAATAGAGCCCATGGTGAGGAAGCATTTTTTGATACATGGTTTCATGGTTTCTTTTAGTTATTTCAGTGTCCTAGTTATCTGTAATCCTCAAACTCACCCTTATAATTCCTACATCTGTTTGGTAGCACTCTTCAGATATTTGAGTTGAAGGTACTCCATATCTTTGATGCAAAATCTTAATCAAATCTCCTCCCCATTATCATTTAATCAAGTACACATGTTCAATTCTTTAGCAATTCCTTGTATGTTGCTTCCTTTGGTCGTCTGATCTTTTTTTATTGCTTTAGTCTGAATTCTTTCAAGTGGTGAATTTTCTGTGACATTGCTGATCTCACAAGCAATCTCTGGAAAAAACAGTGTTATTATATGCCTTTAGAACCTCACTTACCTCCCTGTAACACAATAAAACCATCTCATCTATTGTACAGAATCTCAGTGCCTGCTCAGGGGATGCTATTGCATTGTAAACTGCTGTCGTATCTGATTTAAGATGCAATGAAATTGTGGAGTTCTTGGCATTTACCAGCTGTAAATATTCCAGTTTGTATCTAAATACTTTTCTTCCCTGCTTAAATCTTGTTGCATTTTCCATTCGGGCTGGTGTTAGCCATTAATATCTCCCAATTAACTACTTTGTAATGTAAACATGCTTTTCCATCCCTTTTTCAGGTCATTACTGAAGACTCTAGAAAGGACAACAGGAATTTGTTTTAATTTTTTTTTTTTTGGTCTTAAACTTGCAATTCTCATCACTCCTCACAGTGGGAACTGCATACAAGGTAAACTTGTTCAGCTACAACAGAAACACTGTAATCCTCTTAAGGTAAATATAGACTAAACAATCTCAATATGCTGACTAATGGACAAAGGATTTACTCTAACATGGCTACTACCCTGTGTTTTAAACATGCAGATGTAGATATTTAACTTTTCAGCCTTCAAAAAGATTTCAAATTTACTACACTAAGTGTCTAGCTTCCCAGTGGCCCCTCCAAACTCTGGGCATAATACTAGGAAGTCATGTGGATTTAATAGGAAAATGTTACCCTCTCAGAGTTTTCTTCAGTAAGTACAGTAAGAACTCAAGGAGACAAGACTTTCATTCCTCCCACACCACCATACTACTTTTCTCAGTGACTGTTTTCACTGACATACAGAAGATAGTTGTAGATAGTTGCTAGTGATCATAGTGATTAGCTTAACAGATGCATTTCTTTCTTGCAGGTACCCGTAGTTATAGCGCACCTGGAATATCTTGTGCTCTTGCAATTTGCCAAGTACAAAATTATGTTTTCTTACCAAAAAAACCCCCAAACCAAAACAACAACAAAAAGAGCAGGCATTTAAAGAAAAGTACAAAGCCATGTAAAAAGCATGTGAATAGCATTTCAGCTACCTTCCCTCAGGTGATTTTCTGCTGTAAACATTGTGTGGAAATATCACAGCATGCACTTTACTGGCCAAGATTTAATCCTTAAACACTGCTGGAAGCTTTGGAAAAAATATATGAAATATAACCATTCTTCAGTTGCTTCTGAGTGTTCCAAGGGAGCAGGACTAGGCTGTAAAACAAGGTGGCACAGTCAGAAATAATATATTTGTATATATTGAATCCCACAAAAGTTGATATTTCAGATATGATTGTCAGGATTTATCCAGCTTGGGGCAGTGTGGACAACAAAAAAGAAATGTGGCAGAACTAATATAATTCAGTGTAATGCAAGCATGTTATATCTTCAGTGAATACCCATAAAACAGAGTCAAGTACATGGGAACTACATCAACTATATTACTTTTGTCTGTATCTAATATCGGTGATTTTTCATTTGCAGATTTATAAGTTTTCTAGTTTTATTTTATAACCAAATGAAATTCTGACATGGATGGTGTCAATTCAAGAAACACATTCCAGTGTATTTATTCACTTCCCTGGATAATAAGCACCTGGATTCATATTTTTGTTTCATGTTGATTTTGGTATTTGGTCTCAGTATGTTAGTTCTTGGCATGCTGCTGGAAGATATCGCAGCTGCTGGAAGACACTGCAGCTGCTAGAGTAACTTTGAGTCGGAGTTTTCCAAACTAGCGCAGAAACCCCACCGGTCCTGGCGGAGAGCCGCGGCTTTGAAAGCATCTGTCAGATGCCTACGACCCTGCATCGGTTTATCTTCCCGAGTTTCGCACCCCACAAACGACACTGATCCCGAAAACGGTTGAGTGTTCCTATCTCAGCGCCCGCAGGGCGCTCCGGGGAGCCGGTCCCCCCGTGCTGGCGCGGACCCTGCTCTGCTCCCGCAGGCTCAGAGGCGGCGAGCAATGCCCGGGCCGGGAGCGATCCCTGCGGCTGAGTCCCCCTCAGCTCTGCCCGGCTCTGCGGGCTGCGCGGCCCGCAGGGGTCCCGGGGCGGGCGGGGCCGAGCCAGGGGGGCCCGGGGCCGGTGGTCCCGCCCGCCCCGCGCCGCCATTGGCCGCGGCGCCCCCGCCCGCCGGCCCGGCCCGGCCCGGCCGCCCCCGCTGCCCGCGCTTATAGTGGCGGGACGGCGCTGACCCTCCCGCTGGGAGTCGCCGGGATGCGCTCCGCGCCGAGCTGCCCGCGCTGTGCGCTGCTGGTGCTGGCGCTGCCCATCCTGGCGCTGCCCGCCGAGCGGCTGGCGCTGCTCCCGCATGGAGAGGAGCGCGGGGATGCCGCGCTGGAGAACGGGGACGACGCGCGCTCGGCGGCGCTGGAGCTGAGCACGGCGCTGCGCTTCTACGGCGCCGCCGTCCGCTCCCTCTACGTGAGTGCGGGGCCCCCTTTGGCCACTGGAGGGTCGGGACGGCTCCTGGGGGCTCCGCGGGGCGCTTTGGGGTGGTACTTCTTGGGTTCCGTGTCGGTTGTGTGAGCGCCGAGGTCAGAGGTCGGTCCAAAGAGCTTAATTGTTCCAGTTGTGTTCAGTTGGGTGTTAGGGTCGTGTTAATGTTCCTCTCACGCTGTGGCTGTTGTCAATTCTTCACAGTCTGTACCGGGAGACGATTCAACAGGTAATAGGGGGGTAAAGCAAATCGATTAACCAGAATGAACGCCGTCCCCAGGCGTTTTCAGTGCTTATACACACAGAGCGTGTTCAGCTAAGAAACATCCTCGCTGTGGTCTGTTTTTTGTGTTTCAGCATACCGAAGTCACAAAACTGAAACTATGACTGTCTAACCAGCAGCCTGACATGTCCAAGACTTGCACCTCTTAGCACCGAAGTGCTTTCTGCCTCATAATGTCTTGGGTGCTCTTGGATGTTCGTTGCTTAAGAGTCGCTTGGGCAGGGGAAGTCCACATGCAGAGTAATTGCAGGCTTTGGGCTGTAGGCAGATCTCAGCCATGTGTGTGTGCTTTATAGCAGAATCTGTATCCCAGAGTTGTTTGTGCACGTTTATAGCTAGTGGAGGGTGTTTCGTATTTGAAAGTGGGATTGAAAACAGATTGTCTGGAGCAGAGCTGCTCAAAAGCAGCCATAAAAAAAGTGTTTAAAATGGCAGCATGTCTTCAGAACACTGCAAGAGCACTACATGTTTTATCATTGCCCCTTTTCCCCTGAAGCCTCATGTAGGCTGGCAGTTGAAAGGCCTTAGTAGGGAAGGTGCAGTATGTTCAGTGTGTTAATCTGATAAGTTAAACCCATCTCCCTGTCCATACATGCCAGTGTGTTTTAGCATTGTGGGTCAAAGATGCAACTCTGTGGACTAATCTACATGAAGACATTTGGGAAACTAGAGCTCCCTTGTGACTGCAGTCGTGCAAAGTTTGATGTGGTTCCCATGTACTTGACTCTGTTTTGTGGGTATTCGCTGAGGATATAACATGCTTGCATTACACTGAATTATATTAGTTCTGCCAGTTATGTTCTTTTTTGTTGTCCACACTGCCCCAAGCTGGATAAATCCTGACAATCATATCTGAAATATCAACTTTTGTGGGATTCAAGTTATGCGTGTGTGGAAAATGGGTGTTGTTCACTGACGCTGTCAGTAAAGATGAAGTATTAAGTGGAGTTCAGACTTCAGTTTGACCCTTAGTTCATTGTCTTGTCTTCTGTACTCTAAGTTTGGCCACTCATTAGCCAACCTAAGTAAAAGATACACTTTTTAAAGCACAGGCATACTCTTAAAAGATAGAGGACTGTATATCCAGCCATTGAGAAGCAAAGATAACAAGTAATGTGTCAGGTAAGGGGACAGAGTTTTCGAAGAGCAGTAAATGGATTAAACACACCAGATTTCTTAAGTTTAGTGATCTTTTTACTTGCCCATGCCCTGACAGAGGAATAGTTCTAGTTAGCATTTGTCTGAAAGAGTACTCATATAAAGTTTATTTCAGAGTCACTTTTAGGACTCTACCAGCATGATTGCTCAGTACTAAGGATGGGCAGTTTTAGTGAATGGCATTTCAGTATCAGTCTACACACTATGAAGAGCTTTTTATCTTGCACTGAAGCTGGCATGAGTACTGCAAAACAGAAGCACAGTACAAACTGTGAACGGGTAGGAAAAAGAGAAGTAAACCTGTTAAGGAAGTGTACTGAGCAGTTTTGAAAGTGCCTTCACACTATGTATTTTTATGTATATTTGCAATGAGTACTTATTAAGCTCTATGACGTTATTTGGCAAGCAAGATTTGCCAAAGTATTGCTAGTTGGTGGTAAATGTTATCAAACTGATACAATTAACGTGTAGTATACGTGATAATACACAAAGGAATTCCTAGATCAGATTTTGTGTTGTGATTAAATATTTCTTTCTGTATGATTCATCAGGATAATGTGTTAAGCTTATCTTAATTTTTGAGCACTTGATTTTTGGCCTTCAATCAGTTGAAAATTTGTGGATTCTCTTTCTATTTTTTTCAACAGTCTAGAAGCTGAGTTGTTTGAGTTATCTCTACACATGAATAAAAAGGCAAGGAGTTCTGAGAAACAATTGTTTAGTATCGACTTGTCATAAAATCCTTGGCAACAAAACCTTTTTTCGTAGACAAAAGAGAGCACTTTTATTTCATAAGTGGAAACAGACTTTCACATACTGTAATCTTCAATATGGTGTTTTGCTATGAAAGATTTATAACATTGAATCCAATCACTAACCAAACATATTTGTTTTAATAGCACGCTTTTATTAAGGCTTTTTCAGCGTACAGTAAGACTCATTGATATGGAAAAATGAAAGGATTAGGGAATTACCTCCATTTGGGGAAGAATCCAGAATCCTTTAAGGCAAGCTTGGCTCAAGTTTTTAAATCCTTACTTTTTTTAACTTGCTAAATTAATGGTTGATTATGTTTCTATTAGAAAGCTTTGCTGCTTTAAGTCAATTGTCACTTCATTATGAAAATACATTCAATTTTTCTAAACTCTCTTACTCAGAAATATTCAAGTCCTTAAAATGTCTACTCACTGAACAGGGAAAAATTGCCTCATTTGTTTGAAACTTGAATTTTTGTAGTACACATATACACTTTTTCTCTTAATAGAAGTGCTTCCTTACTTTGCACTTCCTTCTTCTTACTTGATTTTCAGGATGGACCTATAATAGTGTGTGTATGATTTGTTCTGCTACAAACCCCAAATGTATGTTAACTATGTGTGTAATCCAGAAGTTTAACATCTAAAAATACATCTATGTTAGTTCCTGTCAAGTTAAATAGTGTTATACCCTAAAAGGAAAGATATACTGTAAAGCTAGTCTTTGAGCAACGCCCACCTTAGGCATTTTTTTTCCCCTTTCCCTTTTGGCAGGAATGATGCTCTGATGAAACCCAGGGTGTACTCTGAATTACTTGTCTTTATTTTGGGATTTGCACTTTAACCTGTGTGAACTTAAAAGAGACAGGGTAAAATTAAATCATACTATTCACCGTCTTTGTCAATATAAATATGTTGTTAAAGCTAAAAACGCTTTTTCATTATTAATAAGTGTTCTTTCTCTACACTAAAAATCACTGCACAAAGTGAGCAGTTTGTGTATTTATTTTCATTTAATGGTTTGCAACTCTTTTCTGGGTGATAGAGTACATGCAACCAAACATTCTCTTAACATTTAAAAGTGAACTGTCTCACTTATAAACTACAAAAAAATGGGTTTGGCATTTTGCATCTCCTTAATAAAATTACTTTTTGCATTAAAGTTAGCAAAATAGGAAAAGAATAGTCAGAACCATGTCACTAATAGGTGAAGAGAGGAGGGCCATTCCTTCTGGTTTCTACTTTACTCTGTGGTATTAACTAGTCCTGATTGTATTTTCTCTTAATGTTATTTTAATCTCTGCCATAAATGGGGGATCGTGAAGCCACGGAGTCTGTACACACCAAATCTGATGAAGAGCATGGAATTTGTTTAAAATACTTCAAACACCAGTCATCTCTCACAAGAGGATTTAGAGTGGGAGTAGGGCTGCTTGTGTACAAAAAGTGTAAGCAAGGAGAAGGAAGGAAAAAACTTTTAATTGGCTCTAAATTTATTACTTTAATGATGGAGTGCATATCCTTGCTAAAGGTCTTAGCAAACAAACCATAATGCCCACCATCCTCCATACTGTCTTCCAGTGGTAGAGTATATTTGGTGGGTTTTCATTTTCAGGTCATGTTTTAGCTTTGCTTTATAGGAATGAGGCATTTTCTAGTGTACAGATGTTATAGGAGTTCTGGACACCTTTCTGGACTAGATTTATGTTGCATGGATGACTGTAATTGCAGGGTCTATACTGAGGTAACCCATGCTGTCTTTTTAGTTCTGTATTCCCAAAATTCATAATTCACCTTAGGATCTGTGACCATTTTTAAGTCATAAATGATTAGAGAAAAAGTTATCACAATACTCAGCTTCTTCTCCCCCTTTCTAACATGACCTCCTTTCCCGTTGTGCTTGTGCAGATTATTTTCTGATTATATATCTCAGATATACTGTTCATACGTAAAGCCAACTTGCCAGTTTTTACATGATCTTAACGTTTTTAATATTTTACACTGTAGCTGCTAGTGAAATTATACATCTGCAGACAATACAGTCAGCATATGTCAAGCCACTTTTAAAGTAAATTCTGATATACTGTGGGAACTATTTGCTAAGTTTAGCTAATAGTTTTCTGCTGACCATTATCCAGTTATGCGCCAAGCTGACTGACCCCCAGCCTGTGGCAATGGGCATGCTCTGACCCCCTGGCTAGCCAAAGGAGGGTTCAAGGTATAGGTGTGTGTTGTATATGAGGGGGTGATTGGCATCGTGAGTTCTCATACTAGATTTTTTCTTATTTGCTGTGTGTAACCATAGTAATAGTGGTCCAGATTTTAAAGGATGTTGCCAAGATACATGTAGCCTGTATCCTTGATGGGCTTGCACAGCCCACAATTTCTCTGTGAAGAGAATGAATATATGGCCTCCTACTGGCCTCCTTGTTTCCAAATTTATATAGTGGAAAAAGGGGAAGAAAAATTTGGAGATGACGAGAGTGATCAGAGACAGAGAGCAGCTCTTATACAGGGAGTGCATGAATAGACTGGGGTCTTCATTCTGGAGGAGAAATGATGTAGTGGGAAAGACTGGGTAGGATTTTTGTATGTCCCAATACAAAAACTAGGGGCCATCAAATGAAGCTGGGAGCCAGACTGAAAACCAAAAAGTGTTGGAGAGACCTCAGGGTTTGAGTCACAGATTCATGGAGCTTCTTTTCCAGGGATTTTGTGGATGATAAAGTTTATATGTGTTGAAGGGAAGACTTAACAAATATGTGAAGAGATCCACAGAGGATGAATAAACAGTCAAACCACAGGGAATCTCTTGAGGTGAATGTGGTTGGAGGCTGGTTGGAGAAGTACGTGCATGTCCTCTTGTTTACTTAATCTGTAAACTAGCAGGTATGGCTGGGGACAGACTACTGGGTTAGATGACCTTGCAGTCTGAGTCACAGCAACCATTCTGACCCACTTCTAAGCACCTATAAAGACTGCATAAAGTTGAGAACATCAGGACTGTGTGATCCACAGCATTCAGCAGCGGTTTGTTCTCCTCGGATTCCCAGGAATCCCTGTGAGTGAGATCAACCTGCAAGAGATTGCAGCTTTAGTTTCACAGCTTGTAGTGACAGTTTTGGAACCTCTTTTCCTTTCTGAGTCCCCTGTATATGTGGCAGCAGCTCTAGAGCGAGTGCCTGGCTGCCTGCAGGTAGTCAGATGTGTCCTGTTATGCAGTCCAACACCTGGAAATAGATTTGTATGTGGCTGATTCACTCAGTGCCATACGTATCTGGAAGAAAGGCCTGGGACACAAAGCTGTGTTTGAGCAGTTTGTGCACCATCCCAAGGCCTGACACCTGTAGTCTTGCTCGCTGCTTGTGTGTGTGAGAACTGACTCTGGTTTGCCAGTGGAGTTTGGCTGTCACACTTGGACATGCCTTAGCACCTACTGTATGTATGTGTTTATTTCAGTTTTAGTCGGAGGTGGTTGGCTCTGAGTCATTGTCTCACTGACGAGTTAAATCTCACTGAGCCACTATGTATGCATTTTCAAACTGAGAGTATCACTTATATATGTTAACGCTTTTTTTTCCTTCTTTCAAATAATAGACCCAGTTTTCCACTGGCCTGTGTCAGAGCACTCAGCTGTAAGAGAATTTATAGGGTCTGCTGTGGAAATTCTGTCTCCTAGCCTCCATAGCCTCTGATGTAAGAGCTGTGCTCACATGAGCAGCAGCTTGTTGTTGTCAGCCTTGCACAGTAGTAGAGAAGTTCCTAGGAGGATGTTTGTAGTGAAGTGAAAATTAAAGCAGTCCTTGTGAGGCGAAGAGAAATCTGTACATCTTCCCAAAAGACTTTCACCCAAACTATTACAATATTTAAGCATGGAGCAGTTTTTTGGATTGGTATCTATGTGTAGATTAGTTCTTTGCTCATAAGTTTTATCAGCTTCTGAAGCAACGGTGGGGAGGTATATCTTTGTTAGAAGAGGCAATAAGTGTCTGAAATTTAAATAGGTAAAATCTTTTTCTAGGGAAAAAAGGCTGGGCTATCCATGAAGTATACCTCTGGTTTTAGGCAACTTAAATACCAGGACTCCTGACATGGGATACAAAACAAGAGCTTGGAAAACCCAGTTACTTTTTGAATACGAACCTGATTTTTGAGTCAATTTCTTTTCAAAATGCAATGAAAATATTGTGGTCTAGAGCACCTATATGTAGGAGACAGCCATATGAACAATATCTGTGTTACAATTTTCATCCTTTTATTAGGTTACCACTAATGGGATTATTGCAGTGAATGAACCTTCAGATGAAGAAAAATATCTTGGTCAATTCCCAGTGAGTTTTGGGGCTATTGCTCCTTTTATGGCTGACCTGGACACAACAGATGGACGTGGAAATGTGTATTACAGGGAAGATTCGTCGTCAGATGTCTTGCAACTTGCATCAGACTATATCAAAAGAGGTTTTCCTGAGACTACTTTTGATCCCAGCAGTGTTGTTATTGTTACCTGGAAGCTTGTGGGTCCTTACCAGGTACCAGGAGAAGATCATGTTTTGGAAGAAAAGGTGAGTATTAATCAGAACTTTAAGTCATGTTGGACGCATGTTCAGGTAAAGTGTAACACTGTAATCTATTTGTTAAGGCTTGAATTTCTTTGTGTTTAAATGAATCCTGCAGTGTTAAGAATGTATTTTATTGTTGAAAAGGCTATAGGAGTTACAAGAATTTTTACTTGATTTTTCTTTTACAATATTTTATTAATTAAAAAGAAAATGTTTGATACATAGCTGATTTCTTTGTATTCCCTGACAACTCTTACTTTGAATGTTAAGTGTGAGATGGTAATAACTGAAATAGTAGAATAACCTGCCCTCCCTCCTTGCAATATAATCCTGTTGGCTTGCATTTTTCAACAGACTCAAGTCATTTTGATGTCAGACTATCTAAAATCAGATAAGGACTAGTAGGAACTGAAGACCATTTTGAATGGATGATGTTGCATTCAGAAAAATCTCATGTTTTGTAGCTAGTATTGAATGAAGAAGCAGTTAGAGGGGTTTTTTTTATTATTACTCACCAACCATTTTCCCCTTTTTAAACCATTCAGGTACTATCCTGCATGAATATGTAAATTTGTACACCATAATTATTCCAGCTGATGAGCTTGCTCACAATGTATCGAGTTGAGAACATTACCACAACTTACAAAATCTTTTTATGTCAATGATAACTTCTTTTGCTTAACTTGACACAAGCACTGTGTTCATAATAACAATTTTGCACTCTGGTAGCAATGAATAGCTGATGTCTGAGGTGCTGTCTTAGTGGTTCCTACAGTAAGCAGGAATGTTCCTATGGGTAAAGACTTGAAGCAAGATGAAACTTAAACTTTACTTTAAATATTCTGTAGAACTTAAAATTGTTATATTTTGGGCACCCTCTCTATTTCCTACAGATTTAACTTTAATAATGGGGTTTTTTTCATGTTTATGAATGCTAAAGCTGAAACTGCCTTAGCAAAATATAAACTTGTGTAATGTTGACTTTTCCTAGGAAGTACATGATACATTATGTATATGGAAATTCTATAATGTTGATTTTGTGTTTAAAAAAAGGAAAAGTATTATTCTGTTGTCTCTCTTGACTATTTTTACATGAGTAAATGGGTGTTAATGTTTTTTTCCACAGAGAAACACATTCCAGGCTGTTTTAGCCTCTTCTGACTCCGGTTCCTATGCTATTTTCCTTTATCCAGAAGATAGTTTGCAGTTCTATAGCACATACTCAAAGAATGGAGATGAAAATATTCCTGCTATGGTTGGCTTTAGTCAAGCCTCTACAAACTACTACTTTTGGGAAAAGCCAGGATCCTACAATGTCATTGCTAATGATGAAGACAGCATTAGAAACCTGTACAAGTATGCTTTTTTCCTTGTTTAAACTCCTCAAGAGTTCTGTGATTTTCTTAATTGTAGCATGAATCACTGAGAACTAAGAAGATGCTATTAGCCATTGCACGAGAAATCACAAAGTCTGCCACTGATGAACATCCACCCTCTTGAGGAATATGAGTACTTTGGTATAATTTTTCAAAGGTCCACAGTTTCATTGTCACTGGTAGGAACCACTGTACTCAGTTGTTCTACAAATTGTACCACTTAGACTTCAATTCTTTATGGTCTATCCTAGGGAGCCCCTTTTTTGAAAGAAAGAATGAACAAGAAGGAAAGGGAATGAGTTAGAAAGTTCTAGTAAGTGGTAGCAAGATCTTTGTGGCCCAAATATCTCCTCCTGTTTCCATTGCTTTGGAGACAAGAAAACTAGAAATTCTCAGAGCTCTAGGTATGGAGAATAAAATGCTATCTGAACTGTCAGGGGTGTTTTACAGCTGAAAAACTGTACCTGTAGATAAGTATGTAGATAAGATAATTAAACAGTTTTGTCCTGACACTCCTCAGTGAAGGATAACATCTTGTGTAGGCTAGAAATACCACACAACTCGTGCTTGATTGTTTTGATTTGGCATATGCTTCTCTTTGACAGAAGCAGCAATGCTGGGAAGCAAGGTGTCTGGGTGTTTGAGATTGGTAGCTCATCTGACAGCATTGTGCCTGCCAAGATCAGCAATGTTTTGGAGAGCCTAGAGCCTGATGAAGAAGACCAGGAGATGACTTCTAAACCATTCATGTCAGACTACGGCTCCACTGAAATAACACAGCAGTATATCACAAGTAGTACAGACAGCACCGAAGAGGATCAGCACCATGTTACGTACAGTGTTCCTCAGTTAGCTGCAGAAGACTTTTTGACTCCATACCAAGATGTAACAGGAACACCTTCAACTGAGTCTTTTTACAGTCCTCAAGATTTCCCAACAGCAAAAGCTCCACCTCGCCAGTTTCAGGTCCAGCGGTTCCCCCCACAGCAACCTCAAGTCATAGATGTGGAAGAATTTGATGAAACTGGAATAGGTAAGGTCTTTTTGTAGCTTAGCTCCTTGTAAGATGGATAGACTGGGAAAAAAACCCAAACAAACCAAACCAACAAACAAAACCACAAAAACAAACAAACAAACCCACAAAACAAACAAACACCACCACCAACAACAACAAACAAAAACCCAAAAGCAAACAAACAAAAAAACTAACAACAAAAAAAACAGAGGTGTGTGCAAATTGAATTACTAAAGAAATTATCTGTTTCCTTCTCACTGTCTTCATATCTGAAAATCTGGACACGTTTCATAAATTTGTTATTCATCCAAGTAGTCAACTTGGATGTCATCTGATTCAGATCTTGCCAGTCTAGTAAACTAGTTCCCTAATCAAGCTCACAGACCTTTCTTAGATGTGCTACTGAATACAGGTGACTTAATAAAGGTTGGGAATAGAAACTGCTGTAAAATTTGTGGTCTAGGGTTTCATGACCTCCAGTCTTCCACGGGTGGAAGTAGCAATTCTAAGTTCTGATAAAGTGTTTATAGAAATTTCAGAGTAGCGTGACTGACTGGCCAGATGTTTCTTGATGCAGATGTGAGAATTGCTATCTCCATGAAATAATAGGGTAAACCAATTAGGATTACAGGGTGCATCAGTTGCTGCACCGTCCTGGGTACTGTACTGATGTGTTTTGTTCTAAGGTTGGAAAGTCTCCTTTTTGCTTTGGTTTGGAAACAAGAACAGGTTAAAATTATGGCGTTTAGTTTTGACAAGAAGTTTAAACCACTGAAGACAATAGAATTAAACTGTTTCTTAATTAAAAAATTAAACAGCTAAAGTCCTGATGTTTTCTGCAAAATAATAGACTGTTACTTGCATATTGCAAGGTTAGCCAAAATCAATGGCAATAGTTCGCTTTCCTTAGAGAGAAAATGAAAAAGCTAATCAAGTGAGTCCAGAGAGACTTTTAAACTTGACCAGGGAGATATGAATACTACAGTAATTACATGAAGTGTAAATATCTGGTCTTATTTTCTGCAGTGTTTCGCTACCACACGGATGTCCAACAGACCTGTGCTAACAACCGTCACCAGTGCTCTGTTCATGCTATTTGCAAAGATTATCCCAACGGATTTTGTTGCAATTGTATTGCCGGTTACAAAGGAAATGGCAGACAATGCGTAGCAGAAGGTAACTCTTTGAAAACTAGGCACATAAGTAGCAATTACATACGACATACTGGAATGACATGACCTGTTTTAAATACTAAAAAATCTTTGAAAGACTTATCACTGAGATATATTGAATGGTATTTTAAGCAGTGAGCTATACTTTCTAAAATGCTGTGCTTTTTTGAGTGAAGCAAATTATTTTAAGTGGTCAGTTATATGCTTTATGCATTTTTACATGACTTTCTAGAAAAAATAAACTCTTCCATAACTGACATAATTTGAAAAATAGCATAACATTAGGTGATATTTGATAGAATTAGTCATGAAGTTCCACTATGTTATAATCTGATGTGGTCCTCACTCTAGAAATGGACAGTTCAAAGGGATGAACAAATTAACTTTGATCATCAAACTAAAGAGCACGGCTCCTCTTTGTCTGACTCTTAAGCTGCTTTACTAAAGGGCTGATCTGCAAGATTTTTTTAAATACCCATTTAAACTTTGTTCCCGTGTAAAATCCATAAAGGAATTTCTTATGTATACACTTGTAATCCTCACACTGATTTGACTCAGAGTATAGATGCATTTCAACAACTCTAATAGCTGACTGCAGACTTTGTGTTTTATAAGCCAGGAAAGCTTTCAGTTCATAAAATTGTGTTTTCTGTAGAAAGAAAAGGATCTGATGATAATGGAATTTCAACTTCCATGTAGGAAATTATATACAGGAGAAAACTAGCAATCCAGAATAGCTATAACACTGACAGTCTTCAGAAAGGTCAATAGTTTAGAATCAAAAAAGTAATAGGTTAGAATAAGAGGTCAATTACTCTAACACCTAGTGGTGTTAGCCTTTTAATAGGGAATGAACAAATTTGCATTCAGTGTGTATTGATATCAAGGGTGATATCAAAAAGAAGTTTGTGTGCCACTTACTGTCAGATATACCGTAACAGCATACAGAGTTATCCTTGAAGACAAAACTGTTAATGAGGATAAAGGGCATCTCTTCAGGCAATTTTTTTCTATTTAGTAATCTGTATAATAACAACAAACGTATATACGTACATAAGTCAGTGAACACATGGCAATTTCTTGTCTTAGTTCTGTGAGTATTTGTTTGTTCTTTATTTCAACACTAATACCCTTGAACATAGTGAGTGCTCTGAACATGTTTCTTGGAGAGTATGAGAGAATTGTCATTTTGTTCTGATGCATTGTATTGATTTGCCAGGTTCTCCTCAGAGAGTCAACGGGAAGGTCAAAGGAAGAATCTTTGTAGGAAATAACCCTGTTCCAATTACATTTGAGAACACTGATCTCCACTCCTATGTTGTGATGAACCAAGGGCGTGCCTACACTGCTATCAGCACAATCCCAGAGACCTTGGGGTATTCTTTACTACCTCTTGCCTCTATTGGAGGTATCATAGGATGGATGTTTGCAGTGGAACACCAAGGATATAAAAATGGATTCAGCATTACTGGTAACTTCTAAATTAATACAGTGTTCAAAACTGTGCTATGCTTTCCTCTGTCTTGATAGAAAAGACGTGTATTTAGAACAATATATGATGAAAACACATCTATTCCGAGCTGCAAATTGATCCTTTGTAATCAGACTTCTCACCATTTTTGGACTTTTTTAATTTTCTGTCAGTGTACCAGCACGCAAGTGTGTTAGAAAGAAGATTGGCTTGGCTAGTTCCTGTGCAAGAAAGATTGTTTAAAGCATATGATTTTTTTTTTTTGTTACTACAGCGTACAGAGCTACTGAAAAAAAGCTACATCTATATCTTCAAGAAGTCTAGCATGTTAATTTCTTGATTGCATCAATGGAGCAAATGAGAAAAGAAAATCTGACCTCATGAGGGTCTGAAATTCTTAACAGAAGCAATTGCTGCATGACATGCAAGCAACTCACTGAACTTGTTTGAGGGGAAACCCCTCTTCACAATTAAAGCTTTTCATAAGAGTTTGAGGCCAAAGCTGTGCAGTTGTGCACATGAATTCAAGCTGTAGATTCAATCTGTTCTAGGAGAACATGTGTTTCCTTTTAAAATTTTATCCTTTACAGCCCTATAATATGGATTTACATGAACATAACTTTTTGTTTTGGGGTTTTCTTGGATCTGGCATTTTGGAAGTTTGTTCTGGAATTTACAACATATGTTTCACTTGGTTTTGATTTGGAAACAGATGTACTGGACTTTTAATTTTTTCTTAAACTTACTGTATTTCTAATAGAAATTTTCTCTAAACTGCCCTTTTAAATGGTAGGATAAGGCCTACTGTTATTAGCTTGGTCAGAATTTATTTTTTTTTTAATTAAAAAAACCCCTGCTTCCTCAGGCTTATTTGCAATTTACCATGTTCAGTGCTTAAGATAGTATTCAAGGATATTATCAGTATACCTCTGAAAGTTATTTCATTAGAAACACAATATATTAGCAATTGTGCCATATCAAAGCTTGCAGAAAACAGTAATATTTTAAACAGAAGGATTCAGAAACACCTATTAAGTGGTTTAACTAATACTCTTTCTTTAGGTGGTGAGTTTACACGGCAAACAGAAGTAACTTTTCTTGGCAACAATGAGAAGCTGGTTGTAAAGCAGAAATTCAGTGGTATTGATGAGCATGGTCACCTTACCATCAGCACAGAAATGGAGGGCAGAATACCTGAGATACCATCTGGTGCATCAGTCCATATAGAACCATACACTGAACTCTATCATACTTCTAGTTCTGGTAAGGTTCCCTAAGAATGAAATGATAAGAAAGTGCACACTTCTTAAAGCAGAGACTAAGACAATCCAAAAAAATTATTTTATTCCCTTTTTAGCAAGTGTATTTAGGACCCTTCAATTTATAGAAAGTTGCTTTTGTGTCTTAGGGACAGGTCCCAAAAGAGGGTGGATTTTGAGTGGGACAATGTAAATATTTAAAATCTTTTTATTGAAAAAAATATTTCAAATTTCCCTGAACTGATGTTTGCAAAGCACTGTCAATTTCCCTTTTTGTTGGCCTTGTTTTTACACTGTTGATGGCAGCGTATAAGTTACAAAGTTTTTTTGTAGGTTCACAGCTCTTTAGTAGGAGCTGTACTGGTGTATAGTTTTTTGTGGTAATGTCATTAAGTGAGCTTTGATGTCTGATGAGACTGAGTAAACCAATTATTTACCAGTATGTGTCATATAAACTGCATTGCAACAACTTTTGCAAGCATTTATCAGTATTATTTGAGCTGATTTTTAAGAACTGACTAGAAAACTAGGAACCTCTTAATTCCCTTATCAGTTTCTCTCTCCTCTCTCTCAGTTCCTTATCACAGACTCTAGATTTCCTGAGAGCCATTCTTCATTCGCTATTTACAGGGCAACCTCCCCTCTTTTGCTTTCTTCTTCCTGGAAGAAATTATGGTTGTTTCAATACAGAAAAAAAGAAAGTGAGGTTGGAGTGTTGCTGCTCGTCAACCAACCCACCTGTTGAAGAGAAGTAAAGAGGTGCACCCACAGGCACATGAATACTGGAGAGACTGCACTTCATTCCAGGAGTGCACTTTTGGTTGGTAGAGATAGCAATGATGCAACTACACCATTTTCAGCTGCCTTGTATTCGCTAATGTCTGGCTTTGGTAGCCAGCGATGAACCCCTCTTGTGCTTTGCCTGTTTTACCGACTGAGAGGAGGAGAAAGTGGAAGCAGTAGGAAGCTTCTGCCTTGTGCTGAACAGCTTCAGAGTTTGGGAGAAGTTGTTTGCGCAGCATGTGCTCTATAGAACACTTGGCAGAAATGCCGTTCCCATGGAGGTAAAATCAGAGGCTGGAGGGAGGCATCCTTCAGGCTGGATTTGGTCTACTAGTACTCAAACAGCTGCTATTCTGCTGTCCTGTGATGTATCTAACAGTCTGTTACTTAGCAGAAATCCATCTTGCCGGTTGTTGGAAATGGATTGGTATAGGTGTGTTCTCATGTCCAAACAAAGAACAGTGGTGTTCTGACGACCTTCCTGTTGGTGGGAGGATCCATGAGCCCTTCTTTGAAGAGCTTTGGTCACAATTTTTGACAACATAGAAAACTGTTGTGAAGAATGTAAGAGCTCTCGGACAGGCAGCTTCTTCAGGACTTTTAAAATCCAGGGCTAATAGCCTACAATGAAATAAAAGTGGGTGTAGTTTAGTGCTGGTGAGATGGCTCTTGTAGATCCATTATAAATTCACTGAAAGGGACTTCTGAGTTTGCTGAGTTGAATTTTCCTTTCATTACTTGGAAACCACAAAATAAAGTAAAATTTTTAAAATATGTCAAAATAAATCAAATTACTCTGTTTATCAATGCTGTGATACCTGAGAGAGAGTAAGTGTACTGAAGTGCCTATTCCTTTTCATGGAAATACATCCATTTTCATAGCTTCTTGCCTTTGAAATTTCTATTTACAGTGCACAGACTGCATCCTAATTCTGCAGATAACATTTGGCAGAGTACTTTTGATCTCTGTTCTGATCAGCGTGTTTGCTGTCATGTTGCAGTGATCACTTCATCATCCACGAGAGAGTACACGGTGACAGAGCCAGAAAGGGATGGAGTTGCTTCCACGTACACGGGCGCCTATCAGTGGCGACAGACCATCTCGTTTGATGAATGCATTCACGATGACTCTCACCGTCCTGCTTCTGCTACTCAGCAGCTCTCGGTGGACAGTGTGTTTGTCCTGTATAACAGAGACGAGCAGATTCTGCGATATGCTATGAGTAATTCCATCGGCCCAATCAGTGGTATGTATGAATTGAAATTTTTTCTCTATTGTGAGTAATTAAGAACAAACAGGCATCCATATTTTTCTAGCCTGCCTTAACTGTGTATTAATGAGGTAAATTAATTTATTGCATTAGTCAGTGGAAGTCCAGATCCATCAATTAGGAAGAGAAATGAGACTGTTGAAAGTTCGTATTTTTACTTGAGAAAGAGTATTCAAGTGATTATCTCTTCTTGAAATTCAGTGGAGTTTGTGTCTAATTCCTTGAAATACTCTCAAGATACCACCTTCAATCTATTGCCACTCAGACAACTGGAGTATATTGTTTATCTTTACCTAATTTTGTAGTTCCTCTATTACTGAATTTTTTGTATTGTCAGAGAAAAGGGCAAAAGAGGGGACTAAGATTCACCATGGGTGAGTTTCTATAACTTATCATGAAACATGGCATTTTATCTTTGAATTGTAGGCAACCTATGAAGTGTATTTTTTTGGATAAGCTGTCCAAGTTTGCACTAAATCAGGAAAAAAGCAAACAATTTGAAAATGCACACCAGATGAGTATAATAAAAAAGCTGTGCTCACTTTTGTTTGATACAAAATAAAGTTCTGCTAATTAAAATGAATAAACCAAACTGTTATGAATCGTGTTTTTAGTCTGCTATCAGTGACTGGGAGATGAATTACTTTTGTCAGTCTTGCCTTTAGAGAGGTTTTTGTGGCTTTTCTTTCTTTCTGGTGCAAAAAGTATTTTTTTTTCCTTGTTTAATGCGTACTATAAGCAGACTCCTTCTAGGCCTTAACTGAATGCTATTGCTTGGATACAGTCATCAAGCCTAAATATGATCTGTCTTGTCAGATGGTTCTGCTGATATTAACCGGAATCCTTGCTACACTGGTACTCATAACTGTGACACCAACGCTGTGTGTCGTCCAGGAACTGGAAATCGTTTCTTCTGTGAATGTTCAGTTGGCTTCCGTGGAGATGGAAACGTTTGTTATGGTATCAAAAAAACTTTAATTTGTTGCAAAATGAAAGCTGAAGTGGAATTTGTTTTCCTTGGGGTGCACTGACCATCAGGATTAGCCATTCTAGCAAAATGAACTGTACTGAGAGGCTGGTTTTGAGAAGGATAGGTTAGAGGGTTGCTGGTCTAGCTGATGTATCTCAGTAATCAAAGCAGGCAAGTTTGACAGTCTTGAAGGGTGTGTTTTGCTAGCTTGCAAAGCATCTTTCCTACCCAGTCTGTCTTTTTATAAAATATGTGGTAACTTAGCTGTGAGAAATTTACTGTAATGCAAGTCCTGGTTAAAATGAATCAACTAGGTTAAAAGTTCTCGATGGAGATGAAAAATGGCATATGCATGAGTGGGCAGAGCAGATATGTGCAATTCATTGAAATAATCTTTTTCTTGATCTGCTTTGAAAATCCGTTCTGGTCAAGAAGATTATATTTCCCAACTCTGTCCAACTCTGTATTCATAATGTATTCGGGTTTTGCTTTGTAATCAAATCCCAGCACAAATACTTGTTTTCAAGAGGTCAACATGTGTGTTAATGAAGTATGTATCATCTCTATTAGCTAACCAAGTTTTGGGGTTTTTTGATTTAAAAAAAAAAAAAAAAAAGACAAAAAACAAAAACAAAGCACAACTCTTCCCTCACTCCAACCTTTAACTCAACTTGCAAATGAAAACAACAGCACCACATTGTCCCTTCCAGTCCTCTGGTGCTGTGAGTTGAGCAACAATGGATTAGAGATGTATATGGATAATGAAAGGCGAAGTCTTTCATAAAGTTCATGCTCCCCCAGTGGTCATCACTGCTGCTGATCATCTTCTAGGCTGGATATTTTTCCTCAGTGGCTCCTCTTTTCTCTACAACTTCCCGTGCCTTCCCCTTATTACTTCATTTTAGAGCCTCTTCCAATTTGTTTTTTCCTTTTTGGTGCCAATTAGCTGAGGACACAGTTACATGAAATCTTGTTTTCAGGTTACTAATATCTCTTAAGATGTATGGTCTAGCTAAGATGTAGCTGAAATATAAAAGACTGCTATTAATCAACAGTTCCAAGTTTCTGTTTTTCTGGCATCCATATTAAATGCATCTTTGTCGTAACCAAAATCCTTGTAATATCCTAGATATTGATGAGTGTTCAGAGCAACCAGGTCTATGTGGCACCAATGCAGACTGCAATAACCAGCCAGGAACCTACCGCTGTGAATGTGTTGAAGGATACCAGTTTGCAGCAGATGGGCGGACTTGTGTTGGTGAGTTTCATATTTCTTGAAAGCACTGCCCACCGGCTCTTGGGCTGTGATTCAGCTCACACGGACAGAAACAGTCCTTCACGATCTGCCCTTACTTCTAACATGAGCTGAATTTAGTGCTGCAGCTACTGATTAGTGGGGTTTTCTGCATTTTCTAAGGGCTGTGCTTTGACTTCTTGGAGTTTTGTGGTTTGTTTCTTTCTTATGTCTAATCCAGAGTTCAGTTTAACAGATTACGCTTTAGTTACAGATTCATCCCTTGGGTAAGATGGTGCACAGGTCTAAATCAGTGTGTCTTGGCTATTGCAGGCTTATTCCAAAGCAATAGTTAATCGTGCTGAAAGGAGATTGTAACAGATCACTTCACTGTTAAAATCCTCGAGATCTGGAGAAAATGTAGCTCATTTTAATGAACATTAAGACTTCAAATTCAGTAGCTGCTGCTGAATTATTTTTATATAATTTTAAAACTTTATTTCCGAAGGAAGCCTGAGTCAATCTGTATTTGCTAGACTAAGGTTGTCCTAACAAGAGATACCTTTTTCCTGTTTGCCCTTTTTTTCACTCAAGTTCTATAAATTCCTTTTGGAAAAAGGAATCTACAAATGGCTGATAGAAGAGGCATAATGACAGATAAAATAATTAATGGCTTTACTTCTAGAGCTGCAACTGTCAGGATAGGATAGAGATTGGATTTTTTTTGTTTGGTTTGGTTAGAATATTTGTCTTTGCAACCTGCAGTAATTCTGTACTGACAAACCCTGTATGCACTCTTCCAGTATAGCTGGACCGGTTCCTGTTTCTTTTGGAAATGAGTGATAACAGCTGAGAATTGTTTGCTTCTGTTGTGACTACTTTGTGGTAAAAGCTTAGTTACCCTTTGATCAGGTCATGCATCCATATCTTCCCTCGTTATAGCTAAGACTGTTCTTCAGCTAAGACTGAGGAACCTTCATCTTATAGCAGACAGTTGCATGACTTTCCTGAAGTTTGTGGCTTTGTATGCTGTGTATTACACTCCATCACAAGCTAAATTTCTCTGCTTCAGTAAGGATTCCAATTAGTCTACTCCCTGAAGTCTCTGTTTGTTGCAGAACAGTCAGAAAAAGCAGCTTCTTCTACCAGGCCACTGGAAGGGATAGGGTGATATGTGGAAGAGCAGCTTTATGTTCTTTCCATTATGTCCACCACTGCACTTCTGTGATTTAGACCCAGAAGGAAACATTCTTCCTTCTAGTCACGATGTCACCAAATTTTCTCTATCACTTTCCCATGAAGTTGATGTCCCACTTTTAGCAAGCACTAAGTAATTCCCTGCCCGGCTTGAAGGATTTCAGTTTGATCTCTTCCTTCAACCTAAACCAAGCCGCATTTGTAAGACTGAAGAGAGGGAAGATAAACTCTAGTTTCCCAACAGATTAAAAATAAATGTCATGGTAATCTTGTTCTCCTTTTCACAGTGGAGGGTTTTATAACCCCCCCAGACAACTTGAACCCCAGAAGGGGCAACAGCAACCCTCTGTGCTTTTGCAGGTTGCTCTGGGATACCAGCCTTGACTCAGCTTTTTTGGAACTGGCCTTTTTTTTTTCATACCAGCTGCATGACTCACTGGATAGCTTTAGAAGAGAGTTGTAAATAAATCCTATTCTCCTACTTGTAGGATGAGAAATAGGAGGACTTGAGGACTCCCTCTGAGCTCCAACTTCTGTGCATTTATAATGCAATTCTTAATAGATTATTTTATAATTTCCTTTCGTAATCTAAAACTTACTTCATCAGACAGAAAGATATTAATGATTCTAACAACATTGTTACTTCTTCCAGAGAAATGGAAAAAATGACTGTTTTCAGATCTGGCTCTGATGGCAGATTTTTGTTATTTTCCTGCTGATACTGTGGTAGTTTCCATCTGTGTACTGTGATGAAAGGAGCGTTGTGTAGTCTTGTCTGGGTTCCCTGTCAGCTTCTCATAAGAATTGTGTAAAGAGAGCCTCAGTGGATTCTCTATTACAGCAGCTGGAAGTCTGTTCCTAGATATACACATTGGATGCTTTATTTCTGGGACCAAAATTTTTGTAGTATTTTGCCTCTTCCTATTTTAAGTACCGTGGTTTCCTTTGTTTTCTTTCCTTTTCACTGATGTAACAGGTAAGCACAGGCAGAACTCCAGTGACTTCCTGAAATAATTTGTGTGTAAAGCAGTGCAATGCCTTCAGAGTACTGCTGTCAACATGAGAAAGTTATGAAAAGCAGGTCTGGTCCCAGCTTACACTGTTGGTCAAAAATCTCTCCAGTAGTTGACAAATTTGTTTATCTCCTATTGAGTGAGTCACAGCTCCCATCTATTGCCAAGTGACAGCAGCCCTGGGTCAGTGGTAGGTTAGTGTAGCAGGTCATCTAATAATTCCCAATGCAGTAAACTGGCCGCTAAGCTAACATGTGAGGTAGCTCTGTGAGATGCCTTACATTTCTTCATTCAGGACTCCTTTTCATAAACAAAGCTGTCATGGATTCTAGGTTCTGTCACTGTGATAGCCTCTCTGCCCCATTCTGTGCTAACAAACATCTGTGAGGTGCTGAGGAGTCAGTTCCTTGTAAAACGTTAATAAGATTTAACACCAGTGAAAGGTGAGATCTTGGAAAAAAAAAAAAATAATCCCAACCTTCAGACCAAAAAAAACCTGTTTCCTTTCTCTTCTGTAAGCTTTCACAGCTGTTCTCTCATATGAACTTATGAGCCTTAGAGTTTATGAATGAAAATTGAAATTTTCATCTCCTCTCTTATACATTTAACCTGCAGCTGTCGACTATGTGGTAAACCACTGCCAGACAGGCACACACAATTGTGACATTCCTCAGCGTGCTCAGTGTGTGTACACTGGAGGGTCCGCCTACATCTGCACATGTCTCCCGGGCTTCTTGGGAGATGGGCGTGCCTGTGAGGGTGAGTAGCACCATTTGTTGTGGGGCTTTTATACTCTTTATTGCACAACTTGGACGGTCATTGAAATATCATATAGTTACTTGTGATTTAAAGTAGGAAATTTCATAGTTTAAGTCCCTCAGGTGGGCATTTGTATTAAGCATATGTCTTTTCCGCCCCTCAGTTTTTGAATTCACTCTTCAATATTTGGGCTATAGAAGGTCCAAGATGAGGTAACTGCAGAAGCTGCAGTACTTGTAGTTGCAGATCTTCATCTGCTGGATGTGTTTGCACTGTATTGGTTTATATTATTACAGTGGTGAAACATAATTCTTAGACTATGTAAAAAAATGACATTCTGTTTCATGTCAGTCAGAGTGCAGTGGGGGAGAAGATTTACCTAACTACATGTTGGAAATACTGCTGTTCAAATCCTACTTCTCTTGCTGTGTTAAGTAATTTCCTTGAGAAGTATAGACATGTATTTCTAAAATACTGTGTGTGTTAACAATGCTAGTTACCCTTTGGAATAGCAGAATGTAGAGATACAGAATCTAAAATACATGCATGCTTTTCTTTCTCCTTTGTCTTTCTGTATTAGATGTACTTCCAAAGAACTATCTGTAAGTCTAATCAGATATCCTAAAATAGGAGCCTGAAAATATGTCAGGTTTGCACATTTTTTCATCACTCTGATTTGTCTATCAGGAGGAACAGTTACCTGAGATTTTTCTTTTCTTTTACAGATGTAGATGAATGTCAACAGGGCCACTGTCATCCAGATGCTTTTTGCTATAACACTCCTGGTTCCTTCAGCTGCCAGTGTAAGGCAGGTTATCGTGGGGATGGTTTCCGATGTGTGTTAGGAGGTAAAATTATATAGTTCTTGAAAATTGAACCAGAAATATAATTTGGGATTTGGAGGATATATGTTAATTTGATTCCTTTCTGAAACAACATGTGTGTTGTCAAAGTGGTGTCTTTATTCTTTCTTAAGTCTTTCAAATTTAGAATTTCACCAAGCTTGTGTCAAAACCTATATCTTGACTGCTATCACTTTTCCATGATATCCTGCTCAATGTCCTGTTTTATATTTTGTTTGTTCTATCCTCAGCAATTTTCGACCCCAAGCTGATATTATCTTTTGAAGTTGCCTTCTGTAAAGGTTTGACCATGGGGGTGATTTGATTTGCATACTCAGTCACTTACCATAGAAGATCTGTAATTGTTGGCAATGCAAATGAGTACAATTACAGGAGAAAAGTGAAAAATGAGACCAAAGTCATGAGACTGTCTGCAATGGTATCTAGATACCTACATGCCACATATACCCTATAGTCCAGAAAGACTATGGTTTCTAGCTGGCACTTATTTCTATATTTACTCAGCTTGTTCTCTATTCAACAGAAAGTTCTTTACCATTCCACACTTCTGTTCCTCCATTGTGCTTTGGGCCTTGAGGTATAAAACTCCTCATCTTGAAGGTATGCTTAAAAAGAAAGAAAATAAGGAACACTGAAGCACAAAGGAGCATTGTTATGGTTACTTTAGTTCAACAGCATGGCAAACCTCTGGAACAGGACTCAGGTTTTGCAGAAAGGTGAATGCTTTTCTGCAAATAAAGAAAATAAAGCTTAACTTCTGTTTGTTCAAACCCAATTCTCTTTCCTCTAACATTCTTGCTGTTGGGCAGAAATCCCTTCATCTGTGAACAGAATGAAATTCAAAATGTGCAGTCAAGAGTAAGAAGAAAGTCATAGGCCCACAGAGAAAGAGAGAAAGAAGCAGTATGACTGGGAAGGGAGGCTCTCTTCACAATTTACCTTCTACCTTGTGGTCTTAATGATGTCCAGAGTATTTGTTGATTCAAAATTGAGGAGGGTTTGTTTGTGCATTTGTTTTAATAGTGGATCTGTTTGTTTGAAAGTGCTTGTCTATATAGCACAATATTACTACCTGAAAACTAATATATTTTCTTTTGCCACTATATTCCCTAATTCTGAATTTCTGACCTTTTTTTTTGCATATTTGGATGCTTGTGTTTTAAAATTAAAAGACAAAGAGTTGTTTAAAGGAAAGTATTAAAAAAAAAGAATTCACAAGGTTGTTTCTGGTTTTAGATCATGACACTTCATCATGTTATGTGAAATCACCTAGTGCGTGTAGATTTTTCTATCATAGGTAAATTGGCGGTTTTGCAGTGTTTAATTCTGAAGTCTAGCTTTTACCACTTTGTAAATCTTTTAATATTATTTTTAACTAACTTTTCATGCATGATCACCCATGAGTATTTTCATTTTAATGCCAGATGAATGAAGAACCTAGTGTTTCTGACCTGTGTCAAAATATTTAGCTAACCAGTCGGCTGATAGAAACAGAATTATTTCTCCTAGAGGAGAAATTTGATGTGAATAACTTGAAGCAAATTAAACCTTAAAACTTCCAGTTCTTCAGGCAGAATTGCAGAGGAAAAAATATTGCTTTCTGCCACATACCCTTTGTACCTGAAACAGGTGGTTTGGAAGACTCATACTTGAAGTCAACTAATTAACTTTTTTACCAGAATACAGTCAATGTCTTCTGAGTATATGTGATAATTTACTTGAGTTTTTTTGGGGGGATTGGGGTTTTTTTGTGGGTTTTTTGTTGGATTTTGTTTGTTTGTTTGGGGTTTTTTGTTGTTGTTAAGAACAATACCTTTTCCCATGCTTTGGTTAGTGTCTACAAAACTGCTAAGCACAGTGTACTATTTTGTAGTAACTTTGTTATTTTTTGCTGCTTATCCTGTACACTTCTTCACTTTCTGTACTCAACACAATTGTTTTTTGAGTGGTAATCTTTCCATGTCACAATTTTAATAGTAGTAGCAAAATATTTTTGAGAGTTCTGTATCTACTGTTTTAGTGGGTGAAGATCTGCCAGGTTTTGGTAGTCTTTATATATGCCTCACTGTTTTGCTTTTTTTTTATATATAGTTTTGTACTATCAGTAGAAGACAAGCTTTCAGAAACACTTCTATCAATTGTGTCTCTGGTCATTAAATGCTCTGAGCAGAAAAAAAATCTGTATAGATAAGAAGTCTCACTTTTGCTGAATCGTTACTGAAATAGGGAGTATCTGTATTGCTCTGCTAGTCTGCAGCAATAGCAGTGTTTACAGCTTATCTTACTGCTCCCTTCTTAGAGTTAACAGAACAGCAGCTGCCCTTGGGGTGTCATCTGTTGCTAAAGCTTTAGTGCCTTTAACATGGATATATCCATCAGTTAATCATTGCCAGGAGATAGAAACAAACTATACTTTCTGAAGCCTACCAAAAGTAGCTTAGTTTACTTTAGCACCCAGTTTGTAAATTAAGTTGCTTCAGAATGGAGACTGCAGATGAGGCTGTATTGTTTGTATTCAGCTGGAATTAGAGACCCTTTCTTCCCCTTTTTACCCGCTAAGGTTTTGATCTAATTAGCCTCTGTGAAGTAACTGAAGTCTTTCCTGGTTGTTAATAGCATGGAAAGTTTCATTCATTCGAATACACAGTTCTTTTTTGCTGTACCCTGTTCCAACCCATGTTGCAATTACTTGCTTGTTTGGTGTCTTTATTATTGCATGAAACCTATTGTTAAAACTTAACAGTGCTGAATGGCAACTCTTGAAACAAGTAGAACTAGAAACTAACAAGAAAAATGGATTCGAGTCACACACAAGAGAACGTCTGTAGGAGTGAACCAGCAGGTTAATGAAAGAGTTAATGATGCTGGAATGTCCCGCTGCTCCCAGCTATTAAGAAAGTCTGTACTTCATTATTTCCTCACGCTTCATTTTTCCATTTCAAAAAAACCCAGATGTCTGAGTGTTTCTACCTCTGCAGACCGCAGACACTGTTTACTAAACAGAAACAAGTCTAGATTCTTGGAACTAGGAACTGTTAAGAGCCATTCTCTGGTCCTGTGTATGCAACTAGTTTCACACGAGAAACGCACTTACCAGAGCAAAACTATAAGTGAAGAATTACAAAGGAAAATAAAGAGACAAAGGGAAGTGCGTTATTTTCATGTGGGTATTTTCATAATATTTTTTTTACTCCAACATTTGAAAACATCAGGTAAAAATGTACTTTGATTTCATTTATTCAAGTTCCATTATATATTTCAGTCACTTTCAAATTCCAGTTTCAAATTCCAGTTTGCCATTGGTAATTTACAAATCAACTGGGAAAAAAAAATGTTTAAAATATTGAATACAAATTTATTTTTCTGAGGAAGGATATACATTTAGCATAATTTCAAGCTGCACCATTCTGCGTATCTACTCTGACTTGTGTGTGCTGTGGTCCATGGGACACAAATTCTTTATCGCACCTTTGATCTCTGTTCTGCTCTATAGCTTCTGTCTTAGGAGCTTTTTTCTGTACAGTCATTCAGTTTTTCACTGTTCTCTTGAACTGTGATTGCCAAAGCTGGACCCAGTATTCCTTGAATCATCTCCCCAGCCTCGTATTCTTTTCTATACCTGTTCCCTGTGTATATGTTGAATTCTTATTTATACCCTCTCACAGTCTCTACAGCACTGAGCTGTGACCTGCTGATAGCTTTTTCTGATTGTAGTTTCCAAGATAACTCTATTTAAAGATATTTCAAGAAATGTATTTCAAGAAGTGTAACTTTACATTTACGTCTTGTCCTTCTCATGTTTTTTGATCTGTTTCTCTTCCACAAATGATGCAACCTAAGGTTGCATATTTTCCTCTGGAATTCAAATGAAAGAATTAAATTTCTTAATAGGAAATTTAAAAACAAGACTAAGGTAAAATGGGAATTTACTAAAGATGCCACTACTGCATGACATTTGACTACTTACTCTGATTATTTTTTCAATTTTTTATCATTTACCAAATTAAGGTAGCCCACAGTATGGTGCTTCGTTTCAAAAATGATACCGTCCTGTGGGCCTGTGTAGAATGCCATAGGGAAGCACAAAGCTTTTAGATCAGTGCATTACCTTCATCAGTCAAGCATCAATTGCACCAAAACCCAGTGGCAACTGGGTTTTACTTATTTTATAGCAAATGCTGATTGGTAATGTTTAAACACATATACGGAAAAGATACTAGAACTTGGTCCTGCTGCTAATAAAAGGCTGCTGCCACCCCTGCTTTATTGTGTCACAAAGGATTGCCAAGGTCTTGCTCTCACTGGTTGTTTCATCTCTGGCAGAATGAACTGACCTTAGTATATATAATTTTTCTCATCATTGACATGATCATTTGGCTTGGCTTTCAAATGTGGGTTTCATAAGAATCTAAAGAACCTCGAAAAATCAGGCCTAGTAACTCCTGGACGTAGAGCCTTGAAATAGGCATGACTTGTTTTGCATTTGCTGCAATCAGGTGCAGTAGTAGATGTAACAGCACTGTTACACCAGGTAGGTGTTATTTGCTCTTAGCTCTACCTGTTATATTTAATGGAAATTTTCTTCCTGCCAATCTAGAGATCAGAGAACTCTCCTCTTAATTGTTCTGTATCTTTGAAGAATCTTGACTGGATGAAATATTACAGTATGTCTATTAAAGGCAGGATCATTAAGAAACCACATTTAGGGTGCTGTAGTGAAGGAAATATACTGATTATTAGGTTTGTGTCTAGAAGCTGGCTTACAAAGTAGCCCTTGTATTATGTAAATATGTGCCATTTCTTGTTATGTGTTTTGTCTAACTTATGCTGTTATGTCATCAAGGCAGGAAATGTGCTTTGTTTGCTGTGTCAGGCTCATCTTTCAAACTCTGTCATAGCTAGCCTCCTTTCAAACAGTTAATTAATGCAATTTAAAATTTTCAAAATCGGAGCATCTTGTCTTAAGCATAGTGAGTAAGACATAGGACTGTATGAACAGTATAACCAGACTATTTCTACCAACCCACCGTCATCTGTATCTTTTTTAGAAAGAGCAAATCATATCCTCTGCCTTCTAGGAACTTAATGCTATTTTTGAAAATTAATTTGTTTAAGTCTCTTGACTTCAGTGTTGTTAATTGCCTTATCAGGCAATTTGTGAGATTGGTCTTGATCTTTGCAATATAGGTACTCTTGAAAAATTTAATCAGAAGTCCCATATAAAATCTGCAAATATAAATGTGGACTTGTCTTGAAATTTAGAACAGATACTGATATTTCAAGTTACCAGTAACACTAACATATCTTATACATAACAGCTGTGTCCTAACTGGAAGGGTATACATACTCCTTTCTATAAATCATATTTGCTAATTCATTTTCATATAGACTATTGATTAGAAAAATTATAAACTCTCGGGATTTACTCTAATTTTGTAAGTTTCAGATGGGAGGAAAAAAGACCAGCTTCTGCTGAGGGGCAGGTAATAGTATTTCTCAAAGATCATAGGAATGCAATTGAGATTTTTTTCCTGCACTGAACAAAAGCAGGGGGGTCAGTTTACCAGTACTCTGTATTCTCCCTGCTTTCTCTCATGAGCATTGCATATAATGAGAGTTTAGAATAAATAAAAATGGTGGCAAAACTATCTGGTGACTGAAATCAGCATTTCTTTTATCTGCATACTGCATAGCACATTGAATACATGAAAACAAAATTTGAGACAGATAATGGACGCTTTCCTACAGGATCTGGTTTTGTAGGTTGATTCAAGACTCTCCACCACCCACATGAAAAGTGATGCCAAATATTTCAGTTGTTTAGAGTCAACCATTCTCCAGTCATTTATATTTCTCTAATTGTGTCCAGGTGCATGAAACATGTCCAAAGTTTTGCTTACGTAACTAGTTTAAATAATAAAAAAACTACCCTTCTTTTTTGATTTTGTGTAATTTACACCACAACAGTCTGTAGATGCATGGGATTAGGTTTTTGCTCAGATGGGCTGGGCCTAATCTGAGCCACACATAACTAAGGCTGTCTACCAAGCAGTGTAAAAACAACGAATAAATGGAAGTGTAATGTTAAAGTCTCTTCAGCACACAGTTTGTGCTAAGTATTTCTGTCTGTAGAAATCATTTACAGGAAAAGGATACTCCCCCATAATTAGAGCTCTTTTTCTCCCAGCACACAGAAGCCTTCAGGGTCCTCAAGTGTAAGGTAAAACTAAACCAGAGGAAGGAACTATGTTATTTTTATTGTATTCTTATAATTTTATTATGTTGTTTGGCATCTAGAACGATATACTGATCTAGATGACTCTCCCTATTGTTTGACAGGTAATACCATGAGATGTATATTTTAGTCCAGACTATTTTGTAAAATTGAAATGTAAAGAGCCAGATCTCTGAATCTCCTGATAACCTGAAAAGTTCGTCTTCCCTCTGTATCCTCTACAGTAATACATATGCATGTGTGTGCGTCTCATATGTTTCTCTGCTTTACCAGGAACTGGACAATCTGTCCCTGTAATTCCTTTCTTAGATGCAAAAGTATCAAATGTGTGCTCAAACCTGACAGCTGATTTTTAATAACCTAATATACTTCATAGCAATGAGCTGCTTCCAGCATCTGCCTCGTTTGTGGTTTTCTCTTGTGGCTCTGAAGGGAAACTCGACCTTTAGCATTACAAAAACGACCCTTAGCCACTCTATGGTCTGGTTAATTAGTCACATTTTAAGGCCCATGGAATAATTGCCAATGGGTAGACATCAAATTTGAAAGTCAAACAGAATGGCCTTGCTCACGTGCCTCAAGGAGAAAGCCCATGGTTTCCACCTTTTGTTCTTTCTCCACTGAAGAAAGGTGCAGGGGACCTGCTTGTTCTCTTTTAAACTAAACGGTGGAAGACAAAATAACATAGGTTTAAGGCAAATGTGTCAGCCTTTCATAGGGCAGACTTGAAGGCATATGCCTTCAAGGTTGATAACCATGTTCCTATAGAGGTACTATGTTCCTATAGAGGTGCCATGTTCCTATAGAGGTAAGAATGCTTGTGTGTAGGTGATCAGCATATGTTAACTGTTAATGGAATGTAGTTGTTAGTGAAACAAAAATATTCACTGAGGTTTGTGTTTATTTGTTTGTTTTGTTGTTGTGTTTTTTCCCCAGAAGCGGAAAAGACCAAATGCCAGCATGAACGAGAAGTAGCTCTTGGCAGTGGAGGTGCTTTCTACCCAAGGGATACAAGAGTTGGTCACTTCATTCCCCAGTGTGATGAGCATGGGAATTACCTACCCACTCAGTGCCATTCTGGCAGTGGATATTGTTGGTGTGTGGATAGGAATGGAAATGAGATTGATGGCACGAGAAGTGGGCCAGGAGTTCGTCCACCATGTAAGTGGCTGAAGCAGTTGTTTTTTGTGGGTGTCTCTCCACCTAAATGCACTGTCTTCCAAATGTGGGGCTTAGTCGTGCCCCTGAGATGTAGCACTGAACTATAGCAGTTCAGGCTTTTGTTGTCCCGATGATGATATGCCTCATGCTACAGCCCTTCCGTAACTCCAACACACATTTTTCCTTCAGCCAGGGCATCCGGACAGCTGTGGTGAGCTTCTGAATAAGAAGATAGTTTTCTAGCTTCTTCCCTACCTAGAAACTATGAGAGGCCCATATAGTCTCTGCCCTCTGGGATTTGTGGAACCTGAGTTGCCTCAGGAAATGAAGGATATTCCTTCCTACGTCTTCCTCACTTCAGTTCCAAAATAAGAGTTTTTTCTAGACATTCGAAGGAAAGAGCAATTACAGAGCCGAACATGAAAAGAACTTCTCTGTCAGCCAAGGGGGAAATTTCAGAAGCTTTCTGCATCTGATTATAGTTATTAGTGTCTGCTTATAGGGCTGTTTCCTTCTGAGAAGTCTGACTGTAATTGTGTCTGCAAATAATAAGGAGCCTTGTTGTGCTGTACAAGCTAATTTTTCCTGATCTGTTTCCTTCTCTATTAACAAGGTCTAAGCACAGCTGCTCCTCCTGTTGTTATTGGGCCCTCTGTTCGACCAGATACAGTACCTCTGCCGCCAGGAACACACCTGCTCTTTGCCCAAAGTGGTAAAATTGAACATGTTCCACTAGAGGGAAACAATATGAAGAAAAATGGTGCAAAAGCACTCTTGCATATTCCAGTAAGTAACCTGGTATACTAAGTCCATGTCTTTTAGAAGATTCGTGACAAAGATGAAAGTTAGTGTTTGTCTACATAACTTAATAATTTAAGTTCAAAACTCAAATTTTACTCTTGATTAAAATTTCAGTATCGCATCAATTTGTCACTGAAAACTACTGATCTATCTAGTCAAAAAGCTTAAAGCTGAGCTATAAAAGAAATTATTTGCCTTTAAAGAACAGCTCACAATGGCTCACAAGACAAAATCTAATCTCATGTCTCCAACAGCTCATCATATAAACTTCTCTATACTCACACTTCCACTGACTTTTTGACTGGTATAAAAGTTTAGGAGACCTACAATAGCAGTATGTGGAGAGGCCCTTTTTTCATTCTTACTCCCTCAAAGCTTTTTCCTAAGTATTAATCTATTCCTCTTTTTTTAGTCAGTTCTCTGCACTTCTTGGCTACATATATATTTTTCTTCCTTTCTTGTTGCTTCCTTCTCCATGTGCAGGCCCAGTGGGTGGCAAATCTTTTTCCCATGCTTCTTACTACTTTCTTCAAAATCTTTGTTCCTTGTAAATGAATTCCTGATGCTGAGAAGGCCTATTTTCAATCACCTGTATCACATGCCAACCCTTTTCACTTCCAGTTTCATAGCATTAATTTGTTTTGCCTGAGGCCTAGAATTTCTGTTTTCATTCCAGTTATATTACAGTGAGTATTTAGTAAACCAAATACTATCTAAATTACACAGATTCACTTCAGTAAATAATACCACAAACTGCTGTAATGTAAGGGTGAAATCAAGCTTTTGACCCTTGTCTAAACTGCTGCTGCAGTACTGTAAAAATAAAGTAAAATACTGTCTGTAAAATGGGGTAGTTAGGCTGAAAGAGACGTGATTCTGAATCCTTGTCAGCTAGTATCATTATTTACTTGATCTAGCTTAAATGAATTAATTAGAAATATTTTCAGGAATGAACTTCCAAGAGATAAGATGCAACTCTTCCTTAAAACTTTCAATTAAAATGAAACTTTCAGTCTCTGCTAATGCTGTTGACTCTGTGTTGTCTGTGATGTGTATTTGCAAAGTGACAGTAGAGGTGTTTAGGTTGTTTTGCAACCTACAGCATTAGGTAAGCTGATGATTAAGTGCATCTGTTTTAATGCATGGGTTGGGACCATTTTTCTAAGAAGTTGCAAGTTACAAAAGCAGCAACTGTGATAGACCTGGGAATCCATGTAAAATTGTTTTACCCTGAAAGTTTCTTTCACTTGCATGGAGGAGAGAGTTTGAACTCCAAATTCAAACTCTAGTCCCATCTTTCTTCCATATGAATGTTCCTTGTCCCTGGGAATACTGTTTCCAGCAGAATGATTTATGTAGTATTTGTTTAAGCTATTTTTTATTTTAAAACCTTACTTTGCTAGAAGTTTTTTTTAGCCAAATGATGCCATGTAGGTAACACTGAAACACAGCTGTACTGCATGGGTTGCATGTCAATGCAAGTCAGATTTGACAGAAGTCATTATTCCCCCTTAAAGGGAAAGAATAAAAGAAAGAAAGCATATGAGGGATAACAGTAAAATGTCAACATGAACTTTCTTTAGATGGTGAAGTTGTAAAAGTCAGACCAGTTGTTCAGTACTAATACCTACAATGCTGCTTTAAAATAATGGTAAATGGTGTTATCTAGTTAAAAGGGACTTATGACTGAAAGTATTTTTCTAAGCTATTTGACAGTGACTGTCACCCAATCATTTTCTCTGCCTGTTGTCCTCATCTCCCATCTTCCCTCAAGAATTTGTTTTTTTCAGCCTTGAGACTTAAAACCATAAACTGCTGCTGGCCAAATAATTATTGTTTAGCCTAGGCTGATCTAACTTGCTTGTTGACCAACAGGACAAAGTTGTTATTGGAGTTGCTTATGACTGTGTGGACAAGATGGTTTATTGGACAGACATCAGCGGCCCTTCGATCAGCAGGGCTAGCCTGAATGGTGGGGAGCCAACCACCCTCATCAAAACAGGTAACAGCACGAAATTCTTTCTCTTGCTACTCCCTAGAAATGATATTAGAGACTTGAATTTAGTAACGTATACTTCCTAGGTGTTGCCTGAGCTGACTAAAGAGTTGTGTTTATGTATTAACCCAGAATGCCATCTGTGGGCATCATTCTCTGACTTTTTTGTTCTGGCAAGCAAGGTAGTTGCTGGATGGCTGAGATTTGGTTATGTGTAGTCCTTTTCTCTCCTGATCTCTGCCAGTCAGCTGCCTGCTCTGGTGAGCATGGAGGTTGAAGAGGAGAACTCCTGCTCTGTTCCTTGGCTTGGGGATCAAAACAGTTGAAAAGTGGTTAGAAATCATTTCAACTGTGACTTTCCATGCCTACCACTCAAGTTGTAAAATGCACGTGAATAAAGCCACCTCATTAGGTTTTTGCCCTTGGAGTTGCTCAAGGATTTGAGAATTGGACTAGAGGGTATTGTGGACTTAGTGCCTTTACAGTTTGTATCTTATTCTTACACTTTTTTGTTGAAGAATCTGCTCTCACTGCAGTCCATGTTCATTTTCATTAAAAGGGTTAATTGTAAGCCCATGCAGCTTAGATATTAAAACCTTTTTTGAGTGGAAAGGGTTAAGGGAAAGGATAGGTTTGGAGAACAAAGTGAATGGTGTGTGTGTGTGGGGGGGGGCGTCATTAAAAAAAAAACAGCAAAAATAGCTGGAGGCGTTTTGAATACTAGTGTCCTTAGGATCCTAGAACACCTGTGAAGTCAAGATACTGGAGGAGGTCACCCTTACTTTGAATCCTCTGCAGCCATTGTTACAAAAAATTAGGAAACTATTTTAGAAAAATTATCAGACGGTTTTAAAATTCTACAATAAATTTGCTTCAGTTTTCTTTGGATGTGTAGAGAATTGCTGCCTGGAGTTTGTGCTTTGGAATAGCCAGTTTGTGGAGATTCCGTTCAAGCTCTTAGGGACAGCAGAGAGATAGGGGTGGCTTGGATCCTACCATTGTCCTAGGAAGGGAAAAGGGAGAGCTTAAGGCCATCCCTAACCATTCCAGTAGTTATGGAGCTTCATAGTTCTGTACAACTTTATGGCTGAGGTATTTGTAAGACCTTTAATCTGAAAGGGACTAACGTGTAGTAAGAGCATGTCCTTGTGCAATTTACAAATTCTTCAGGAAAGGATTTCTGATGCCCACTTCTGAAGTATTTTTTCAGAATCTGCACTTTTAAAAATGGGGGGATATGGATACGAATGTCTGTCTAATGAGAGTGTGTGTACACATTAAAATTCTTGCAATGTATAAAATATTGGAAGAATATTTTTGAAGACTTTCAACTAAATTAGATTGATTATTTAAGGTAATTTGAGATGCTTCAATGTCACATGGAAACCTCATGGGTTTTATCTGCTACAAAAAACATTGTATGGGTAAACATCTCATGATTTCTGTTCTTGGCATAGGAAATGACTGCTGTTCCTGAAGAGATTAGGAGCGACGTTTTACTTCGCCTTCGATATGTTAATGGGCATTTCAATAAGGGGTCAGACCAAAATAATACTGAATCCATTCAAATACTGAATATATCTCCTATGCTGGCCAAAACAAACTTTAAAATCTCATGAAATAGGAAAATGCCTCCCTCTCAGAAGACTCATGAGAATTTTTTGTTTTGGTTTGATCTTTGCCTTTTTCCTCCTGTGAGCTCCAGCTGCTTTCTTCAGTTCATGTGTATTTTTGTGGAATGTACTACTTTTTGGGGTTTTTTTTAAAGCTTTTGTGATCCAAGTTGCATTGCTTTGCAGAAACATATTTTGTTGTGGAGCCCCATCCAGTTCTCTATCCCTGCAGCTGTATAACCTATGGAGGCTTTCTCAGTTCTGCAGCTGTGGAGGCGAGTTGAGGAGAGCTTTCCTTTGTTGTAATTGCTCAAGTCATATCAGCTGTGCATGGCTGTACAAACCTGTCCTCAGGGACAGAGCCTGTGACTGTTAGGCCTGATGACAATATAGCAGGAACATATTTGTGCCTCTGGAAAGACTGGTGATACATGAAGCCTTAAATGTTCCCTTACCTCTCCTTCCATGGAGGACAGTTTTTTCTGGCTCATAATCAACCACACAGAGGAGACATTTACTTTAGACTTCTTTAAATCTCCTGACAAATAGCTGACATAAGGAAATTGAAACAAGGAAACTAGTCAGGGAGCAGGGTCTCCTAGGAATCCATGACAGCAGATCTTTTGCCTGCTACTGTCTTCTGTTTCCTAAAAGACTCTGGGAGCTCCTCCACCACCATTTAGTCAGTAATATTCTGATCCTGGAGACTGGGATCCCTCTCCCCCCACCATGAGCTGTGAGTCAGAAGCAGTGAGATACATCTTATTTGTTCCTTTCTCTCTCTTCAGCAATTAATATAAATCTAAAATGTCATGTGTGCAGATTAAGGGTGGTAAGTATAACCCACTTGAGTGAGAGAGCAGGGGCTGTTTAAGATATTGTGCAACTGTTATTCATAGCAAAGTCACAGTAGCAAATTTTAGAGAGCTCTACCCAGTGTTCTGGGCCAAATGCATTTTCTCCAGAAAAGTTGCTTCTGTTACATACTGTTTGTTTAATGACTGTCAGTAAATAAACTTGAGAATTAAAAGAAGGCTAATGGGTCACATTCCATCAGTGTGTGGATCAGCATCTGAAAGGTGCAGTTTTTGGTTTTTTTCAATAGCTGGCCGGTGTGAAGGGTCATTTCATCTCTTCTGGGGAGTGGCCATGTGCAATTCTTCTTTTGGAACTGAAATTGGACTACAATTTTTTTTTTTTTACTTGACTTTGGCTTCATTACATCCCACATGACCTGCCTGCTCTTTTCAATGGATGTATGAACCTTGAAAAGTAGAGAGCAGTTTCTCATCATGACTGAATTAAACTTTATATATTTCTTCTGCATCCTTTGTCCGAGTTAGAAATTACTAATGCAAAAGCAGTAAGGTCATTATCTGCTATTTCCTGTTGCTTTTGGAACAACTAACTGTCCAAGAAAAACTGTGCACATACAGTACTAAAACATGTTCCAAAAAGGATTGCTCTGCAAAAACAAAGAACTGGATCTAAATTGCATCAGTTAGCTAGTGTCATTGTCTCTAGTGTTTGGAGTTTGATTATGTTTAATTATTGCATCAGCTGAACTTAGCATAAACCCAGTTTTCATGTATGTCAGTACCAAAGAAGGAGAAATATTAAGGGTTATAAATCCATTCTGTGACCTGCTAAGGAGGGTAGAATAAGATTCTGATACTATCTACTGTTCATTTCTCTGCTATCTGCTTTTTCTATGTCTGCTTCTCAAAGAGTGGTTACATGTGTGGTGAGTTTGTTCCTCAAAGAACATGTCATTCTATGTCTTTGAAGGCTTTGTTTATTTAAACTTTGAGGTAAAATGTATGTTCCTCTTCCAAATGACACGAAATAGCTTTTGTTGGGCCACAGCCAGAAAACTTATCTCAGTTAAAAGTTATGCTTATGAGGCTGATGTGTATTGGGAATAAATATAATGCTTAGGAATGTTTTTCTCTGTTCTCCTCCTGCAGACTTGGGAAGCCCTGAAGGGATAGCTGTAGATCATCTAGGTCGCAACATCTTCTGGACTGACTCTCAGCTGGATAGAATAGAAGTGGCTAGGCTGGATGGGCGCCAGCGTCGCATCCTTTTTGACACCGGCTTGGTGAACCCCAGAGCAATTGTCGTGGATCCTGTGGGAGGGTATGGATGTGCTGTCAAGAGATATGTGCAAGCTTAACTTTATTTATTTAATTATTTAACATGAGTGCGTACTCTGAGTCTGTGTTTTCCGGCTGTCTGTAGATAGTAATAGATTACCTTTTCCTAAAACAGCTAACAAACAGGAATGAAACAATCTACTTGTGTCCTGTGTCTGAGTGGTATACTGGAAATGAAAATTCTGAAATGGCTACTAGACAATACTGTGCTAGACAATTTTGTTGAGTGCCTTTCAAATAGTTATTTGTACCTGGCTTTCAGTACATTGTTTGTAGGATGACAAGCATTGTCCTTACCTAAGAATCTTTTTTTTTTGTGAGATTACTGGTCTAAAATACTAGATTAAGCAATTTTATATTTTCATTTCCATCATGACAACCCTTCTTCCTATACTGTTCCATCTTTGAAAACTCCCATGGTATCTCTTCTGTCATCAGTTTTACCTCGTCATTGAGTTGTCTGAGAAGATTCTATTAGGCTTCTATTAGAAGATGCAGATAACTACGTGTTTTAAAAATTGAGCCTGTAGCAGTGTCAGTAGGAAAGTGTAAATGTTTTTAAGTTAAGATTCCAGCCTACAAAGATTGATGTACTACATACTTTTATGTAGTCTTTGATCAGTTGACATTTTTTTCTCTCTGAATATTGAAAGAAATACAGGGAAAATTAAAACTAGTACAGAGTCCATAGTAGTAGTGCATGTCTGTTAATTATTGTCTGAACTTGCCTGCTGTTGCCCTCATGCAACTCAAAATGCTCAGAAGCATAGAGGCTTTCTCAGTCTTGAATTGCTAGGAAACTCTACTAAATGACTGCTTAATTGACATTAGTACTATACAAAAGTACTGTTCTTTTCAGGGAGAGCTTTTTGAAAGGGGCATCCTGATTCCAGATGTTTGCCAACAAGGTTAGCAGTGAGAAAAGAATGCATATGATCCATGAAGTTTGGAGTGATACAAAATTAAATAAAAAAGTAATGGTATTGACTCCTCTAATTCCTTTAATACAAAATAGGCTTTTACGTCATAGTCCCATAATAGTTGATCTGTGGATGCACATCAAACATCATAACGAGGAGAAGCAAATGCACTTTGGTGTGAGAGAAGTGCAGAGACACAAAGTAATCAGACTGAGGAGAGACCTGTGTTCTGTGCAGAACCCCACTGACAGAGTAGGTCTCTGGGTTCAGATCAAGCAGTACAGACTTCTGTCTCATAGTGGACTGTGTGTGTGTATGAAGGAGTAAACAACAAAGATTCTTGCATTGAGGGACCATGTAATTTCTCAGCCACAGAATGTACAACCAAGGGGGAAAAACACCACTAAAAAATGACCAATAATAAGAAAACATCAGTGAGTTAATGGCCCTCTCTGAGGACCTCCCCTGAGGATAAACCACTCTGATTCCATTGTATATTGCTTAGTTGGTGCACTGAAAAGGAAATTGTAGTTTCAAATGAATCCCAAATGTATGCCAAATACTCTTGCTTCAACCTGAGCAGACATGATGGACAGTGAGATGAAGAACTCAAAATGTAGATGTACATCTTGAATGGTCCCTAGAACCATTGAAGTAGAGGTCTTTTTGGCTGGCATCTTGCACAAAAGCTAAACAAGGTGGAGAAAACATTTCTTCTCATGTGTGTGCTTGTTCCTTTTGTTTTTAATGAAAGTATGTTTCCTACATCTTTACTATACTTTTGTGACTTCTGTATTGAAGTGCAATGTGGTTCTTCTTATCTATTTAAATTATTTGGGGGAGGCGTGTGTTACTTTTGTGTCCTTAGCATTTTCCTTAATTACAACAGTCTTTTGAGATCAGTCACTGTCTTGACTCTTGCCTTTTTCTTCCTCTTAAGAAACTTGTACTGGACTGACTGGAACAGAGAAGCTCCTAAAATTGAAACCTCGTACATGGATGGCACAAACAGAAGAATTCTTGTTAAAGATGATCTTGGGTTGCCAAATGGACTGACATTTGATCCTTATTCCTCAATGCTCTGCTGGGTAGATGCAGGTAAAGAGGTGCTAAAATGTTTCTTCATATTAGTAGTAGAACAAATATGTCCAATCCTGAAATTATGTACTCTTTGAGCTACATGTCAAACCTCATGCCTTTCACTTTGGCTTTAACGATCTCTTGATTTATTCCAGGTAGCTGTGGAATTCACATGAGTCTCTGTGCAAGCTGAAAGATTTAATTTCTGATCACAAAACTCTCTAGGAATTCAACAGATGTTGTCTGTGTGTCTTATATGTGACCATCTCTTTAGGTAATGCTTAGGCCTTTGTAGAAGAAGTTAGTTTAAGAACAGGGGAAAAAACACAGGTTTATCTGATCTGGCTTACAGAATGTCATCCTGGCACTATTGTTCTAAGACCTGTAACCTGAGGCCAAGTCTGGCTTATATTTGACTGAAGCAAGGCCTGAAAAAGCAATGCATCCTAAAGATCAAGAGATTAATGTTCTGCCACCGACCCACTGCTTGTTTTGTGCCAGTGTCTTACTGGTTAAAAAAAAGTGTGCTCTTAATTCTCATTTAATTATTTGGGGTTTTTTTTGGCATCTTGTTGTCTTTCTCCCTGTAGACTCGGGCAGAGATGTCTTCCTGTGGAGGCACTTCTATGCTTCAAGTCACCTTTCAAGCTTTGAATAAAATAAAATTATTGAACTCTATTTTTCACCATAAAACACTTTCTCTAACCTTCAAATATATCTTCTTCTGCTATCTCTAATTCCTTACTCTCTCTGCCTTTCTTGTTCTCACATTTGTCTCTCTTCTCTTTTTATCTAATTTTGAAACCCACTGTTTAGGAGAAAACGACAGGTGTTCCTAGCCTGTAGTAGTTTTGCAGGTAGACCATTTTTGCACCCTACTTGCATCTACAAGTTAGATGGTCTTCCTGCAGTCACACCCTCATGGCTCAACCCAGCAAGCATTTTAGGAACATGCTCACCAAATGAGCTTTGCAAAAATGCCTTGCAGAGGAGGTGGAACTAGTTAATGGCTGAAGTATCGCTCCAGAATAGAGGAAGCCTTCTGTCAGCTTCCACACCAATTTGAGGATGCCGGTCTTTGTAGCAGGAATCTCAGCTTGTGAGCAATGGCTGCATGGGACATCTGTGTTACTGTAACTTAGGTGATGTGCTGATTAGCATTAGCACCAAAGTACTTTTCATTCAATTTTTGGCACGTGCATAGATGTGACACAGAGGAAGGTTTTGTCTAAACAGCACACTGAAAGACCTCCAGGACTTTTTACCGTGTTCCTGCTTGCATGCTTGTGCTCGTCCTTCATCCCTCATGAGAACTCCCTTGCTCTGGTTCAAAGGCTTAATTGTTTCACGACGTTCCAGGTACCAAGAGGCTGGAGTGCATGAACCCTAACCAGCTTGGTCGACGAAAGATTGTTGAAGGTATTCAGTACCCTTTTGGTGTTACAAGCTATGGGAAGAATTTATACTATACAGACTGGAGAAGGTACGTTATCTGTTAAAGAAATTATGGAGTGCTTTAATCTTTTCTTCTCCCTGGTAGAAACCGAAGTACATACTGCATTTCTCATGTCTGACCTCTCACGTATTCCTGTTTTGTTGCTTTCCTGACGATAGCTGATCCAGAGTGGAGTGGATCTGTAGAGCTGACCTATTGATGCTGCCAGTTAACTGCGTTTTCATTTTCAGCAGAGTGATTTGTCCTATAAGAAAATGCTTTTAACACTGTACATTTTTGGAAAAGGAGTGGGCACTAATTTGTTTCCCTTATGGGGTGGTACTTGCTGCGTTGTAAAGGGCAGAAAATCATTACTCTTGGCTTTCTATGCCTTGTATTATATGAATGTTCAACAAGAAATAAGAGGGAAAAAAAGGGTTTACTGTCTTGATGATGATTTCTTTGTGTCATTTCAGAGCGTTTTAGAGTAAATGCTCTAAAAATGCTGCCATATGATCAAGACTTTAGAGTTCACTCTAAAATTTCCAGAAAATAAATCCAGTCCCTGCATTTTAAAATATTTATTTTTCCTTGGTGTAAATGGTTGTATGGCTCTGTCTGCTATTAATAGCTATTAATGTGTGTAAGAATTTGCAAGTTAGAACCTAACAGCTGGGAAGTGCTATTCTAGAACAGGCTTGTATAAATGGGAAAGTGTGATACAGGTTTGTCAGTTGACTGCCCTTTTATATTTAGGAAGAAAAGATTGCTTGTATTCCTGTATTCCTTCTGGAGATCAGGCTCCACCCAAAATATAACATTGTCATAATGATTATGCATAATAACTGCAACAACAGCTATACCACAGAACATGTTGGAGGGGCAGAATATGAAGAATGTGTCAAAACTACTAACAAATGTCCCTCCGGTAGGGCGACATTGTCCTCTATTGGAAGTACCTTCAAAATTAGTAAGGAGTCTCCCTACTAAATTTCTTAGCTGCCTAGAATGAAAGTCATAACATACTTGATTTGTCCAGGAAAGATGATGTCTTGGAGAATTTTACTTCTGGAATCTCTTCCTAATTGTTAAAAAGAGGCAACTTCAGACTTTTGATTTTGGTTGGTTTTTTTACTTGTTTACTGGGGTTTTGCTTTTTGATTTTAGTTGTGTTGTTTTGTTTGTCCCTGTACTTCCACTTCATCTCTCTTCTGTATATTCTCTTCTGCATATGGCAGGGATGCTGTTGTTGCAGTGGATCGCATGATTTCATTAGAAAATGATAACTTCCAGCCTCACAAGCGCTCCCGTCTCTATGGAATCACCACGGCCTTTGCTCAGTGCCCAGGAGGTAATCCATATGATTCTCAAGTTTTTACAGCTGCATAACACCTTGGTGTATAAATGACCTTAGTAGTAGCTCCCATTTATAAGCTGCCAACTGATTTAGGTAGTGAAGAACTGGTTGCTGCTTAAATTTCTGTTTACTAAGAAATTCAAAGCCACCTCAATTTTTTTACATAAAAGTAGCTTTTGTGGTTGCCACATGAAAGCAGAATTGGGAGGGGAGAAGGGGCCTGTTCTGTCCTTTTTGAAAGGACAAGTCTATGATCAAGATGGTAGATATAGCAGTTTTTGACAGTTCAGATGCTCATCACCTAAACTGAATGCTATAGTCATGGCTGGGGTGTTATTTACTTATTTTTAAGTTTAAATTATGGAAATATTATGGTCTTTCAGATCTCCTTAATGAGACTGAGTGTTTTTCAAAATGGAATGTTCAGAAAACAGCAGGTGGTGGGGTGGCTGGGCTGAGCTGGCCTTTCTGCTCTGTTGAATGTTAAGTTTTTCAAAAATCCTATTGAAAAGAGGAAGAGAGGAAGTTGATACCCTTGAAATATAATTTGGTTTTTGAGAAGTAGCATCACTTTGCAGTAATGTTGTTATTAGCAAACCACAGTTAGGAGAAGAGTTCACCGTTTTTTATTACAACATGTCTGGAATTATAGGAGCAGCAATATTTTTGCTTTAAGCCTATAAAAACCGCCCAAGATAGTTTCTCTTCAAATTATTCAATATATGCACTAAATGAAATTGACTTTTTACAGAAGTCCTGGCTCAGAGCCTAAAAATGCATAAATATCATAATTAAGAAATCAGTTACATTGCTATTACTAGTTAATACACAGTTCCATTTTGGTAGACATGTAAAACTAAACAACATTGTGTACTCTGAGTATGTCCTTATAGCTATAATATTCAGTACCTTAATGTCATTTCTTTCTCATCATATATCTGTTTCAAGTGTTTTCCTGGGATGGATGCCTCTCCTCACAGACCACTGCTTCTGGCGCTGCCTTCTCTTTCATTTTACGCTTTAATGTTAACACCTCCTCACCCACCCAATTTTTTTGTTTTGTTATCATGGATCATTCTTCGATGTTTTAGTGGTAGGTGGTATCCAAGGATGATGTTCTGTAGCATTTTGGACTTTACCCCCACGTATTACATTCTCTCTACTTCCTCATTCATTCTAATGTCTGTGACCATGTGGCCAATTTATGACATGTATTTCAGGAACAGCCCAGGTGATTCATGTTGCCTCTCCCACTCTGTCCTGATATCTTGATCTTTCTTTGATGCGAATACCAAGGTGACACAAAGGATATGGTGACTGTCATCTGCCCAAAGCATAGTTTTGTTTCACTCTTAATCTCATTGTGGCTTTTTTCTTCAGTGTAGCCATAAAATCTGCATGTCTCTTATGGATATCTGTTTTGGATTTTATTGTGGGTTTGCATTTGTTTTTCTTTAACATCTTACATCTCTTTTTTTCCAGGGCATAACTACTGCACAGTGAATAATGGTGGTTGTACTCACCTCTGCTTGGCTACCCCAGGAGGCCGTACTTGCCGCTGCCCTGACAACACAGTTGGAGTGGATTGTATAGAAAGACACTGAACATTAAAATAAGCTTTAGAGCAGCAGACACCTTCTCGAAATGTGCTGTAAACAATTCACTCCTATCAACACAATCAAGCCCTAAAGATAAGTGCTCCATGCTGTTGACAGCAAGCCACAATGTGCATGTGCAGTCACACATACACACAGGCAGTGGATGTCTTGTAGCAGTTAAGCAAGACAAAGCTGCCCAGGTTGGGTCCAACTTTACCTTATTCCTTTTAATATTGTCCCCTTACTTTTAAAGGTAAATGTGGAGGCATTAGTTGCATCTGTGCTGGTCTAGGAGGATGTGTCTCCTGGCAAAATTAAAGTAACAAATACCGAACAGAGTGAAGAGGGTGGCACTACCCAAATCCTGAGACTGGGTTGTACCTTGGAGTATGCAGAAGTTATCTGCACAGTGGCATGCTAAGCCCATCATAAGGCCCATGTGGCTGGGCCTTATCTCGAGCTGAGAAGCAACCAGGGGGTCCCAAAGATGGATAGATGTGAGTGGAACACCCAGTAATATCACAGATTTAATGCCTAGCTGCATTCCTTCTCACTAGTAGTCCTCTCACTTTCAAAAGTTGAATCTCAACTTTTGACTCTTGCATTACAGCAGTACTTTATCCGTGTGTTGTAAGGATAATAATTCTCACCCTGGCTCATGGGATCCTTTGCTACAGAACATGATTCTTAATAGATAATCAACACTGTTTAGTGGATGTATTTGAAGTTTTTGACTCTTAAGAGATATACTTTTCTTCCATCTGAGGTGGATCCCTAAATAGTTCCCTAAAATCCACTAAACAAAATATAGTATTTTAAACAATTGCTGATAGTTCATCAAAGAATGGATGTTGATTCATTTGGTTTTAAAGAGATACACATTTGTTTCCTGAGAGGTTGTAAAATAATACTTCTATGTTTGATTCTATGAGCCTGAAAGTGGTCTCTGAATTCTACCCTAGCAATCTTTTTTTTAGCAAACCATGCCATGCCTTTTTGTAGACAATGAGATACCATGGCAGTCAAAAATCTGATTTTTAGCAAGCTCACCTGTGTTTTGGTACTTAAAAGAATAAAAGATAGTGATATGCCCCCATGTTCAGTAACAGCAAAAAAATGCACTGAAAATCAAAACAAAGTTGATATTTTCATCATCACCAGTAAGTTTACAGAGGGGAAAATCAGAACGCATATTCTTATGTCAGATTAACAGTACAAATCTGGGAGTGAAGTTTGTCTTCTACACTGTGTGTTGGGAAGGAAGCTTGCCTGCAAGACAACCTGCAGCAGAGCAAAACAGGGCTTGTGAGGCTTCTGCCAGAGCACATTTCACTGACATGATCAGAGCAGTAAGCTAACATCCCCATTTCCTCACTCCCTCTTCAGACATAAAGTAACGGTTTTAAACAGAGCCAATTCTGAATCTTAAATGTGTGACATCTTCTTCTTAATTGTGTATTTATCATGAAATAACATATAAACATTTTAAAAGTCTTTTTGTATAACTTTTTATAACTTTTAATTCATTCTATTCATACACTTAATCAGGTATATCTTACTGTAAATATCAAAAATTTGTTGAAATGAAGGTGCTTGATAACTCTTTCTCCAGAATTATTCACATATCTGGTGAAATATTAAAGTTTACACTCTGTACAGGTATCTACAGTACAGTCAATAAAAATGGTTGTTTTTTATTTTCTATAAAAAAGAACGTCATGCCTGCAGATGGAAGTGATATGTGGCGTCTCAAATCTCTTTTGCTGTTGAGTTCTGGGTTTTAGCTAACTCTCATATCTAGTGATGATACTTCTCTTCAAAGATGCAACATTGCAGGGGAAAAAACTGCTATTGGGGCTTTTGTCTTTTGGAAACTGTAGGATACTTCAAAACAAATACGTGAGAGTGCTTAAGGAGCACACAGCTTTCTCTGTGTTGACACAGACTTTTAGCTGAATGTAAATTCCTGTTTACCTTTGTCAAGTAAGCATAAATCAGTTCATACTTCAGACTTCTATCTAAGTGGAAATATAGGACAAGGGCAAGACTGGATGGGGGCAGAATTCATCTGTATGCTCAAAGATGTCCTGGTACCAAGTTTCTGGGTGCTTTGCTGTCTGATGCCACAGCACGCAGGTGGGCTGTGGCTGCAAGGCAAGTTAAGAGCTAAGTGAAGTGTGGGCAGCTGGAGGTGGTGATGCTGAGACTTAAACTCCTCAACTTTTATGGCTACCACATGTCCTTGCCTCAGGGAGGATGAGGTGTGGGCCTTTGTTCATTCTTTACTGTATGCTTTGACTATTTTTGTATTTTTTTTTAAATTTTGATCAACACAATATTCCTCTGATTATGATGATTACTAATTCACTAAACCCTAGTCAGCTAATTCTGTGCAAATCAATGAACAATGGCAAAGATGTCAAGGGAAATACACCTCAGCAGAACTTCTAGTGTTAATGTGTGAGCTCCAGTGTAATCTGTAGCCCGAAGGGAAATGGTATTACTGTGGACTGAGTTTTAAGACTGAATAACTCTCTGTTAACTCTGGTATTGCATCTGGCAGTAGGTAGCACTAGGTTATGGGTTAGTGGCCAGGACCAATGATTTCCAGCCAAGTCCACAGTAGTGAGGCAGGTCTGCAGTCAAGTTGGCAAACTAGCCAGGACCTGAATCAATGGGATACATGGCTGTGGCACAGATCAGGCGAGGACCAGGGTGAGAGCCGTAGCCTTGAAGGGAAAGAGGATTGCCCTCACTGAGGCCTCCCAACAGAGCTGTTTGAGGATGAACCTCTGCTGAAGTTCCTTCAAGTTTTCTTCATACCTTCTGCCAACTGGTTGACCTTGAACGACCAGCTAAGCTGCTAGTGCTTGGAGTGGTCTGTGGGTCCTGGCACTCTGGAGTTCTTTATTCCTATATGCTTGCTTTCTCATTGAATCTTGTTAAATCTTTGGTCACTAAAATGACCTGTGCTGAGTTCATTATTTTCATCACAGTCTGACCAGGAATCTGATCCCTTGATGAGATTTGGCATTAACCATTTGAAGATATCTTTACTGTGCCTATCATATTTATTCAGTTAAAAGTTCACAAGTATTTTGAATGCTGAAAATGTGAATTTTCAGTTTCCTTCAGAGAGTTAGCAGTATCTTTTTATAAGACAGGGTTTTCTTGTGATGACCTGGGTCTAATTCAACTACTCTCTCCTTTTCCTGACTGTTGCTTATTAGTGTTTAATTGTTGTGGTCTTTCCTCAAGAGCAAGTAAATTTCAGATTTATTTGTACATGATGCTTTTTTTAAAGAGGTGATGGAAAAAAGATGTATTTTATTTAATTATTAACATTAAGTTTTTATTATTATAATAGACTGGGATTAGTAATCGTGTCAGTCTCTGGTTGAAGAAAAGATTCTGTGTAACAACTGCTCACATTTTTTTGCTACAAAAACTGTTAGATTTCCAGGTTTTCCAGGAAAGGAGAACAATTGCTTCAATGGTTCAACAAAAGACAAAATAATTCTTAGAGTTATTGCAGAGATAAGTTAAATGTTTTCTTAAATGCTTACATTCAAATTTTCCAGCACACACAGTAGTACTTAATGGTAAGACTATTATTAGTTATGTTTACCAATACTGTAATAAGTTGCAAAAAACTGAAACTACTGAAAATAGTAATGGCTTCCTGATGACTTAATGATATGGTTTGGCTACCTTTCCTTCTAAAGAGCGTTTGAAAATCCCAACTTTACTGACTTTTTATCTTATAAATAACTCTCCTCATGGTGAAAATCCACTGTAGCTTTCTAAAACTCAGCATCCTGACCAGTGTTCTTCCAGACTGACAAACTGCTTACTCTGCATTATCCACTTGCACAGTTTTGTCACAACGTATTAGATTTTTAACTTGCAGGCGTATGATTAAGAATGGCAGATGATTACTAGAGGATAATGACCCCTCAATGGCAGTGTCACAATGCATCACTTTAACCTATGGTTAAATGCAAACTGGTTTTTTGTGTAGGATTTCACATTGTATTCCTTAGAGAACTTGCCTTGGGTGGGTGGAGGAAAGCAGGATGTGAAACACATATTGCTATAGAGAATACAGTTGTGAGAAGCCCCCTGTTTGGCCTGTCTGTAAGAAAGAAATAGTACCTCCAGAACCTGAGTTCTCAGCTGGGGATCTGGCAGCAGTTTGTTCATGGAGTGATTGAATCACTTTCTTTGTTTAAATTCTACTGTAATTGAAATCTGTCCTTTGTCTTATAAATAAGTTTAGGATACCATGTCAATAAAATAGCTGATATATTGCATCCTACAAATGTACATATTGATGAGTCTGGAGCTTTGTTTGACAAACAAAAGGCTTGGCTTTTGGAATGCAGTGAGTGGGCTTCCCTGCTGCTTTGTGGCAAAGCAGATGGGGTTGCAGTAACTTAATGGGTTTTTTTGTCCAGAAGGATTCTGGAGTTGATAAATGGAGAGAGACTGCCATTCCCACAAGTAACCAGTTTCAGCCTTTGGCTTCTTAGTTTTAAGTATTCACCAGAGGCCATTTGGTTTGTGGTGGTGTTGCTCACTCTGGGCAGGCAGTGTTTCCTACTTGATGGGGTGTCTTGAACACACAGGAAGCACACAGTGGAGCTGTAAAGTGCAGGGCCTTCAAGATGAGGAAAATGGCTGGCTGTACAGATGTTAATGGGGTATGCCACGTGGTGCCTCTGGATCTGACCCAGTAACTTGCACAGCAACATTGGGAATAACAGTGTAAATTTTGCCAGGAGCTACTACCCGGGGTTATGGAGAAAGGGAAAATGTGATGGAAAGCAACTAAAGAGGAAGATTTTATTGCAGTGGATGCAGATGTGTGTGAAGTTTGGGAGGTAGGGGGAGCAATTAGCAAAATTATGGTTATACTGTGTATTTGCAGTCTATTAGTTCAGCAGTGCACTGCTGGGGATAGGGTGAGAGAGACTAAGATGCAGAGTTGCTGCATTACATTGGATTCTGGAAACCTTTCCAGCCTCTCCCTTTCCCACTAGGACCATAATATCCCAGGCACTTCAAACTCTGTGGGATAAACCGTAGGATTCCAGATCCTGTTCTCTTTGAGGACAAAACCCAAGAGCATGAGATTTTTTTTTTTCCACCTCTCTTCCCTGCTTTATGCAGATAAGAAACCAAAGTAGATAAGCCAGAAGAGAGTAATAGTCCATCCAACTTCTTACCAGAGGGGAACATGCTACTGAGCATGACTTCCCTCGTTTCTGACACAGCCCCAGATAGCCTGGTGAACCACCACTGGTATTTCATGGTGCAGCTGCTCCGCTAAGCAGGTACTTTCAAGATGGTTTCTAATACCCACCTGCATCACCTCTTCCAGGACTAGATCCTCTAGCTGTGGCTTGCTGTGCATATTAACTGTACACCAAGTGTGTCACAGGGATCTCTTTAATAATAAACAGCAACAAAGCAATAGTCTTCTAACAAACTGCTAAACCTATCCAGCAGCTTGAGTCTAGAGGTCCCCGTTGATGTATTTGTAAGAATGAGATTTTTTTCCCCCTTGCATTGTATTACAGGCTGTCTGTCTTATTGGTTATTAACGTTTGAGAAGATGTATCTTATGTATTTTTAACTGCACTGTAATTAATCATTTATCTTAGTGTTCTATTGTCCTTTCAAACATACACATGTGAGGAAATGGCAAACCACATATCTCGTTTCATTCTCTTCTAGTCTGAGTATAATTCTAGGCTCTTGTATCCCAAGTGACAATGCAACCATGCAAATCATGGCACTGATTTCTTCAAAACAGTAAAAGACTGATGAGCTGAAATGAGTTTGTGCTTATATGCCTTGTTACTCAATTGTCATGCTGACAGACCACAGTGAAATTTTTGACTGACCCTAACCTGCAAAACCAATGGCTTTTTTTTATAGATGTTTCAGCCTAGGCCCTGTCATGTCTGCTAGGTCCTGTACTGTGTTACACCCAACTATTAAGGCAGAGTATGAAGTCTGATATGGCCTTTGTATCAATTGAATAAAGTGAATTTAGTCCTGGGCCAAAAACATTTGGCATGATGTGTCTCCTCCACATAGATGTGGAGGAGCAGGGGCAAATTTCAGTACTGACAGATGGCTGTCATCTTCATGTGCTTCACCCTAGCTATCTGTGACTTACACTCATCCATCTGTTAGATTTTAGTGATTAATTTTATGAACTTGACAGTCTGGACTTTGCCCGTAATGATGTTTTAATGTTAACCATTGATTAAGACAGAGAGGAGGAAATTGTTTCTCTCAGGGGAGGCGCTCCCTCTGAAAGTTCAGTCCTCACTGGGTGTTCTCTGGAATCCAAACTTTTCAAGCACAAGTTGGCGGTACTTGTATTTGTTTGTCTGTTTCTTAGTTTGTCTGCCCAATTGACTGTCTGTGAGAAATGACATTAGGGTCTGAAAACCTCTGTAAACTGTACATTTGTTCTCATACAGTATTTTATTACTAGTGGAGCTAGAAAGTTTGGCTTTGTTTTTATTCTCTGGTGCTGTGACAAATTCCTGCAGCTATGCAATTTTTATTTCTTTCATTTTGAACTTGATTTTTACTTGAATGAACAATCACAAAGGGAGAATGAGCTTCAGATATCTTTTTAATAAGCAACAAATGTACAACAGTTAAGAAACACACAATAAGAGTTTTTTTCATAAATTTTTATCAAAAATAACTTTTTCTTTTAGAACCTCAGCCCTTATACATATGACCCTCAATAATCTTGTCTCCCAGAGGCAAATAAAAAGACCAACACAAGATATTATTTTTTCCCAAGTCTGTTAACTGCATGCCTTCTTAGAAAATTCATGGACAAATCTGGATTGTAAGTAAGCTCTGGAGTATGTCAAGTCCTCAGCTCAGAGGTGGTACAAATTCCATGTAAGAGCTGATTGCTCAGGACCTGGTGCAGTCAGCTTCTGAAATCTCCAAAGACGGAGGTGCAACAACTTCTCTGGACAACATCTCAGTACTGAATCACTTTGGTGTTGAAGTCCTCAAGTCCAGTGGGAATTTCCTCTGATGCAACTAGTGACCATTGCTTCTTTTCATTTCCCTGTGCACCTGTGCAAAGGGTTTGGGTCTAGGTCATTTCTTTACATAGCAGAAGACTTGCACTAAGCTTACCTTTAGGGTAGGGGTGGGGGGTAGGTGGGATAGTTGGTGTGGGGTTTTTTTTTCCTGGTCATTCTGAAAATGTTATTCTTCATGGTTCTTGGCATTTCTGTCTTGCAGGAGCCCTATTCCAACATAAAAAATAGCTATTTATCCATTTGCTGATCCTGTTTTGAATTCTTGAGGCTAATGTGGAGGGGCTGAACTACTACTCCTCTCCACTGAAAGCCCTGGGACTGACATAAGTCCTGGAAAATGAGAGCTATATTTGTTCTCCATGTGAGAGGGGAATTAATCCACCAAACTGCAACTTTGGAAGGACTGGCATGAACACAGAGGGCTTCTTACTGTCAAAATGCAGATGAAAGGCTTTTGGATACAGAAAGGTGGGAGTACTTAGAGGGAGCTTCCCTGGGAAGGGTAGTGTGGGACAGGCAAAGAAATGATTCCTCTAAAGTTCTGCTGGGCCCGAGGCATTGGGCAGGGTCAAACTACAGAGCTGGGTATGTACTAGATCAAATTTGGCCCTTGCAGTAACTGGCTGTGCAGAGGGGGATGCGAAGGTCTCATTGCCATATCTGTGATGAGTAAGACCCCTTCTGGGTCTGCTCCTCATTCCTTTCATGGATTCCCTGAGCAGTGATGGCTACCAGTGTCGTTCAGTATCAAGAGATGTTCTGTTCCAAATAACTGCTTATATATGTTTGGCATAAAGTGATATGCCAGCTTCAAACTCCCTAGTGGGATGTGAAAATTTTTAAAATTTAGGTGTTAAAAGCAGGACTATAAACATAGGTATCAGGTCAGCAGCTCTGCTACCTGTTAGGCTGCAGTCTGGAATCATAAAGTTCAAGAGCACAGCCCTCAGACTTTTCTGCAAAGATACACATGCTGCAAATGTGTGTGTGGAGGGGCTAAGCATCTTCTCACAAGATCAGTAGGACAAAGAAGGACCTTCATCCAACTGATCAGTATTATTTTGCAGTGAAGTCAGGAATAATGTTGTCAAAGGAAAAGGAGCCTTGTGAAACACATTTAAATTAAAGATGTCATTTCAAGTACTAACATAATTCAAACAAAATAATGATTCTAATACAACAATCTGAAATATATTAATGGATGTGGAAAATGCAGAACTAGTGATGTATGACAGAAGGCTATGCTGAA